GAAATGGTATAGGTCCGTGATGGCGAATCTATGGCACGCGTGCCACAGCTGGCACGCGGAGCCATATCGGTTGGCACGCGAGCTCAGCTCCGGCGCACATGTGTGTGCCGGCTAGCCAATTTTCGGACCTTCTGGGCCCACCAGAAGTAGGGAAACTGGCCGTTTCCGACCTCTGGAGGGACTCCACGGGGTGGTGGGGAAGGCCGTTTTCACCCTCCCCAGGCTCCTAGAAAGGCTCTGGAGCCTGGGGAGGGCGAAAAATGGGCCTACCAGGCCCACTGTGCCATTGTGTGCCAAAAGTGGGGGGAAGTGTAGGTTGATCATGTGTGCATGCAGGGGGGGGGGCGCATAGAATTATGGGTGTGGGCACATGCACGCGCAACCCCTCCGTGCTCCCCCCATTTTTGGCACGCAATGGCAAAACGGTTAGCCATCACTGGTATAGGTTCTCCTGCACTTGACCACGGGGCTGGACTAGAAGACCTTCCAGGTCCCTTCCAGTCAATTGGAGGGATGATTTACCACCAGTTTATCAGGTGCTTAGGAGCCGAGGGCTTGGCAGCACAAGGAAACAACAGCCAATCACCGGCCATCAACCCACCAATCAACCAATCGGAAGGCACCACATAAAAATGAAGCGTAGAATGGTCCATATTCCGGTAGAGAGAAGTTCCCTGAAGATGGGCTCCAGCATGAGCTCAAAAGCTCAGAAGACGGACCAGATTGGACCTTGCAACATTATCCTGGGACTCCCAAAGCTGCTTTTTCCAGAGGGAACTGGACTTTCTGGTTTTCCTTGGAAAATGTTTTGTTTCTCATCTCAGAAGCTTCTTCAGTTCTCTTGGATGAGAAGCAAAACGTCTTCAAAGAAAAACCGAGGAAGTCCAGTTGCCTCTTGAAAAGGCACCTTTGGGACAACCATGACTTGGATGACTGAGAGTCTCCATAGACATTATCCTGGGACGCATAGATTTGCCTTCCTTTAATCAACATTAACCGTTCATTTCCTTCTCTTTGTCTTTCATTAGCAGCGACAGAGAAGGAATTAGGGAGAAATTGAAGGAGGCTTCCTATTATGTGTCCTAAACTGATGTAGGAATTGTCCTAAGGAGGCACTCCCAACATTCCCCTTCCGAGCAGTTTTTCTGAAATATAATTTGGTTTCCAAGTGGTCTCTTTTTCAGCAGATACAAGCACCCATCTGCCTTTTTCTGCTCTTCTAAAATCCTAGCATGGTCAGGAAGTCTTCAGGGCTGAGAGACCAACAACCAGGAAGTAGGGGAAGAGGTAGATTTAAAAAAAAGAAAGAAAGAAATCCTGGAAGGAGGCAAAGAAAAACTGATCATGCTGAGAAACTGACTGGGACATGTTCAGAAAGTCAAACAAGGTATGCCGTATATATCGGGAAATTCCAAAATTCCAAAATCTAATTCTGATTAGTATTTTTTTACAGAAATTGGCTGAGGGAAGACTCGCAAGATTATGCCACCATCTGCTGGAGAATTTGGAAAGACTTGGCAGAAAGTGGAGAAGAAAAGAAAGGAAACCCAGGACGCCTTGGGGTAAAGTAGTCCTCGACTTAAAACAGTTCATTTAGTGACCATTCAAAGTTACAACGGCACTGAAAAAAGTGACTTAGGACCGTTTTCCACAGCATTTCCCACGGTCACGCGATCCAGATCCAGACACTTGGCCACTGATTCACATTTACGACGGTTGCAGTGTCCCGGGGTCACGTGATCCCCTTTTGCGACCGTCTGACCAGCAAAGCCAATTCACTTAACAACCTTGTTGCTGATTTAACAACTGCAGAGATTCACCTAACAATGGTGGCAAGAATGGTTCGTAAAATGGGACAAAACTCACTTAAAAATGTCTCACTTAGCAACAGGAATTTTGGGCTCAATTGTGGTTGTAAACTGAGGACCAACCATGTTTCAATGGTCATCAGTGTGAAAAAGGGACGTAAAACACTTTCTTCAGTGCTATTGTAGCTTCGAATGGACACTAAATGACTGGTTATAAGTTGAGAACTACCTGTACTGATATTTCTATTCCTTTTTGGTCCCCCTTTCTCCACTTTGGGGCATCAACCACTATTAGACGCTATTCTTTTCTAAAGGAAAGAAGAATTAGGGGGCGACATGATAGCAGTTTCCCAGTATTTGAGGGGCTACCCCAAAGAAGACGGGGTCCAATTATTCTCCAAGGCACCAGAAGGCAGGAGAAGAAACAGCGGAAACTCATCAAGGAGAGAACCAACCTGGAATTAAGGAGAAACTTCTTAACAAAGAAGACAATTAGCCAGTGGAACAGCCTGCCACCAGAAGTTGTGGGTGCTTTATCAATGAAGGCTTTTAAGAACACAAAGTTAGCTCAGATTGTGTAGGTTCTCCTGCTTGAGCAGGGTTGGGCTAGAAGGCCTCCAAGGTCAGGGGTGAAATGCTCCTGCTTCTGACCAGATTGCCCGATCCGGTAGCGATGGCGGCGGGTGGTTCGGAGAACCGGTAGCAAAATCCCTGCGCGCCCCTCCCCCCATGCCCAGCTGAGCCGCACGATCATCAGAGGCTTTTTTTTTTTACCTTTAAAAGCATTTTTTCTACAATCTCTTCTGCCGAAAAAATGCTTTTAAAAGTAAAAAAAAAAAGCCTCTGATGATCGTGCGGCTCAGCTGGGATCCTCAGAGGCTTTTCAATGCATTTTTTAAAAAGCCTCTCCGATGATCCCAGCTGAGGTTTTTTTTGTTTTGTTTCGTTTTTTTTAATTTGATTTATATGCCGCCCTTCTCCGGAGACTCAATGGGGCTTACAATGCGTTAAGCAATAGCCTTCATACTTTTGTATATTTTATACAAAGTCAGTTTATTGCCCCCACAAACTGGGTCCTCATTTTACCCACCTTAGAAAGGATGGAAGGCTGAGTCAACCTTGAGCCTGGCGGGATTCGAACTTACAGTAATTGCAGACAGCTGGTGTTAATCACAATACTATTAGTCTGCTGAGCCACCAGGCCCTTTTTGCCTGATCGGCAGAGAGACTTTTTTAAAAAATGCTTCGAAACGCCTCTGATGATCCCAGCTGTGTTGCCTGATCGGCAGAGGCTTTTCAAAGCATTTTTTTGCATTTGCACAAAAAATGCTTTGAAAAGTTAAAAAAAAAAGTTGGCCACACCCACCCAGTCATATTACCCATCACCACCACCAAGCCACGCCCACAAAACCGGTAGTAACAAATTTTCCATTTCATCGCTTCCAGCTCTATTCCATTTTTCTTCTTCTATTCTAAAAACAATTTCCCCTAGGAGACGCACATGAATATATGATTATTTACATTGTCTGTACTGAACAACTCCCTTAATCCATTTAAAAGTCATTAAATCGATCACGGATCCAGGGTGACCTGGTTTATGACCAGTGCTTGGTAGCTCAGCAGACTAAAAGCATTGTGATTAACACCAGCTGTCTGCAATTAAAGTTAAGTTTGAATCTCACCAGGCTCAAGGTTGACTCAGCCTTCCATCCTTTCTAAGGTAGGTAAATGAGGACCCAGATTATGGGGGCAATAAGATGACTTTGTATAAATATACAAAAGGATGAAGGCTATTACTTAACGCATTGTAAACCGCCCTGAGTCTCCGAAGAAGGGCGGCATATAAATCAAATTAAAAATAAAATAAAATAAAAATTCACTGCTGAAAGTTGAAAGGACTGCCAGGAACAGATATGAGGAGGGGACCAGTGCTCGGCCAACTTCTGGCTTAACAAATTAAATTGAGAAACGTCACATGCTTTCCAAAGGAGATCAGGGCCCATGGGAAGACGCCTTTGGGATCCAGGGAAGGCTTTTATTCAATGCTCCATCTCTGTGGATAATAATGAGCATCTTTTTGGAGGACATTAGATCTCCCCCCATGGGAGTGCTTGGCTCTCTGCATCTGCCCTACTCTAGGCGTTCCTGTTTCTGCTGGAAGACGACCAAGAGTGGAGATGTTCCAGATATCGTCGATGGTTGATGGTTGCTACCACCCTTCTCCAATAGCACCTGTGGCTCTGTGACCTTCTCGTGGAACCTTCTCCTCTCTTGGAAATTAAATTGTCCTGTCTTTCTCCAGGGCCTGTTTCCACAATCTCCCTGCCAGGTCCTGTTTCCGCGATGTTCCTTTGTGCTCCTTCACGATGTAAGAGTTCTCTTCGTGCTTCCTCGCTTTCCCCAAAGACCAGCTGCAAGGCAGGTGCCCAGAGGGTCATGGGTTGCCCCTTCCCCACTTTGGAAGACCTTTATAGCTCCCACTGCCTTAAGAAAGTTCAAAACATCCTTAAGGATCCATTTCATCCTGGGGTCCCCTTTTTTTGAACTATTACCATCTGGCAGACGGTACAGGACAATAAAAACAAGGACAAATAGGCTGAACAACAGCTTCTATCCCAGAGCAGTAACTAGCTGTAGGAAGTTAGCACTCACTCCTCTCCTAGGAAAAGAAAATGTTTTAGGATATACTAAAAAGGCAGAATATTTTCCCTAAAAGAGAAACTCAGAGAACCAGAAACTCAGCCCCCACCTTTATTAATGGGCCACTAAGGCCTAAGCCAGTCTATTCTACATAACAAAGATCCACCTCCTTCAGGCAGAGCCATTTAACTGCCCTTTATTGCACCACCCACCAAGTTTCAGCCAAACTTGGCACACAGACAACCTAAAGGGCGAAGCTATGACCAATCAGGATATTCTTCCTGGGCCCCAGGAACTTCAAAGCCAGAGAGGGCATAAAAAACCAAGGCACGCTCAGCATCTCTGCCCTTTTCTGTTCGGGAACTCAAGCCATGTGATCCTGTCCATCATTAAACCATCTTTCCAAGCAGTCTCCATGTTTCCAGTGTCTTTTTCCCCACTCGGAGCTGAACCCAGAAGGAGATTTCTTCCAACAATACAATTCTACTGTAGAGTGCAATATTAATGCAATATCAGGGGTTTTCAATTCAATTGCATACAGTGTGAAGGAGGTGTGTTTTTGTTTTATTTTTATGGGGATTTTAAAAAGTATAATATACAGTGAAGATGGCACTTTAATTGTATGAGGTGCCATGATAATAAAGAAAACTATTAAACTATTAAACTATTATTGCTTGGTCTCGGAGATCCTCCTGATGGCCTTGGAGAGGAGTTGACTACTAATAAGATCTGGATTGATTCGATGGCCACACTGCCGAAAGATTTCTTCCATTGAGTCAGCTGCAGCCTGAGCCACCGAGGCTTCACGATCGCCTTGCAGATCCCGGAGACCTGAAACGAATCCAGAAAACAAAGGATTTCCGGGATCAACCGTGAGAACCAACCCTGATCAGCGAAAGAGCTTCTGGAGAAAAACTCCTTGCTTCAAGCGAGGGAACTTTGAAACTCACCAAGGAAAACCTCTTCGATTTGTTTTGAAGTCACCACTTCCGGTTGCATGTATTGCGCGCAGCAGCCTAGGCGCATAAAAAGAAAACGTTGGTGGGCTTAGCAGAGACGGCTAAATCGACTGATTCAGGAAAAAAACACACAATTCATTGGTTTCCACTTGGAAGGGTCGCTTTGGGACTTTACGGGAAGGTTCCAGGGATTGGGTCTGTCTGATAAAAAGAAGGACGAGGGGTAGCCATTCTTCCTATGTTTTTGTCTCCAGGGCTCATTGGAGGCTTTAAAGAAGAAATTAAAGAAGAGATTGGACAGCCACCGGTCTGAAATGGTAGAGGGTCTCCTGCTTTAGCAGGGGGTTGGACTAGAAGACCTCTAAGGTCCCTTCCAACTCTATTATTTTATATTCTAGGACTGTGCAAACAACCATCATCTTGGGAAACAACCTAAGCAGCCTTGAATCCAGTTAAAACTAGAATGGGAGGCCAGCTGGAAATATTTCCAGAGAAAAAAACACTGCTGTGGGGTTGCCTATACAAGAGAGAGGGATACAGGCCAGGTAGTCCTCGACTTATAACAGTTCATTTAGTGACCATTCAAAGTTACAATGGCACTGAAAAAAGTGACTTACGACTGATTCTCACACTTACAAGCGTTGCCACATCCCCAAGATCAAAATCTGGATGCTTGGCAAACCGACTTGTACTTATGACGCTTACAGTGTCTTGGGGGTCAAAGATCACTTTTTGCGATCTTCGGATGAGCAAAATCCGAACTAACTTAAGTGACTAACTTAACAACGGCAGCCATACCCTTAAGAAAGAGGGCCGGAACTGCCTGAAAAACCGTTGCGCAATCGTAGCCGTTCCGGAGAAGCCACACGGTATAAGAGCAGCTTCCAGTCTGATTAAGCAACATGGCTTAATTCGGCATAGATTCTTTTGGTGATAAGGCCGCCCGCCTGTCTTGGGTTTTCCTGCCCTCCTTCCAGAGTTGGCATTGGTGATTACCAATTAAGAGGGCAGCTGCCTCGCGATGGGAAGAGTTCCGGCTCCTCAGGAATCCCAGCATCTGATCCAACATTGCAGGAAGGTTTTGCTTGCATTTATTCATCTGGGGAAAACAAGGCAACAAACAAGCCACTCAACTAGAGAGCTTCCTTTTTTAAAAAATTTTTTTTACAAAGGGGCCGCTTTCTTGGTTAGGTTTCTAGTCCTCATGTCCTCAACAACTTACTGTACTGTACTAAACATTATTATACTATACTATACTTTACTATAATAATCGATATTTATGTTATTAGTGACAGTTTTATCCAAATTAAAAGCATAAAGGAAAATAAAGAAAAATAGCAGATAGTGAAAAACAAAAACTAGAAAAAGAAAAGAAAAGGGAAAGAAAAAGGTAAGGAAATGGCTTCTAAACTTATAAATGCATTTATATTTTGCCCCCCTCTATGTCCTAATTTCCTTTTCCCACAAACTGCCATTTCCAATCCTCAAACCCACAAACCAGCAAGGTTTCTAGTCCTCATGGTTGCATGGAACCTCTGCTGTTCCCGAGAGAGCAAAAACCCAAGAAGAATCCCTCTAGTCAGATGACTCTAGTGGTTAAGGCATCAGGCAACAAACCAGGAGCCGGTGAGTTCTAGTCCCGCCTTAATCATGATAGTGAGCTGGGTGACTTTGAGAGTTCTAGTCCCGCCTTTGGCATGAAAGCTGGATGGGTGATTTTGGCTAATTACCAGGAGACGGTGAGTTCTAGTCCCCCCTTGGGCAAGCAAGCGGACTGGGTGACTTTGGGCCAATGACCAGGGAATGGTGAGCTTTGGTCTTGCCTTAGGCATCAAAGCCAGCTGGGTGACTTTGGGAGTTCTAGTTCCTCCTTAGTCAGGATGGCCAGCTGGGTGACTTTGGTGCAGTCCCTCTCTATCAGGGCAACCGACCTCACAGGGTTTTTGTGAAGAAAAGAAGAAGTATTAGGGATGTCCACCATCTTGAACTATTTATAAAAATAAGAAAGGCAGGGCAAAATAAAGAAATAAACGCTTAGCATACTCTAATCTGGAAGAAAACTGGCCAGCTTGGCTCCTACTTACAACCACGTAGCAGATGTTGGAGTACATGCTATGGAGACTGGTGTACATTTCATAGTCAAACAAGTTGCTGGGAAAGCCCCCCCAGTTCATAAAGGACACGCAGGAGTCGAGGGTCTTCCTGGAGACCTGGCCGAGGGAGGAAAGGGGGAGATGCTGTTGGGTCATGAAAGGTCTTCAAGGAAACAACCAAGTTCAGGGAGCACCAAGGACTCCACAACTTCAGGATTGTCCAGAATCACATTGGATTCTCCAGAGTGTCCACGTGGTACAACCACGTTGCTCTGAGTGAAGATGGGGGTACGGGGTGGTCTCACTGAGAAGGTAGCAGGATCAGAGCAGGAGCTCAGATTACGCAGCCCTTCAACTCACCTCTTTCGTCCGATCATTTGAGAGTAGTATGACTAGAGGAACAAGGCTGTTCAGGATGTTTTCCGCCATATTACTATTCCGTATCTCCTTCAGTCCTTTCAGGAGCATGCCGAAAATGGTGATGGAGGTATTCCTCAGTTCGATGTCGTCCTACGAAGGAAGAGAGACAGGTTAGTCCCTCCAATAGCAGAATAGCCATTCAGAAGCTTCTTGAAGGAGAACACACAAGTTCAGAGCCCACCTATTCCCAGTTCAATGTCCATGGAGATGGTCAATCATCCAGGTCATGGTTGCCCCAAAGATGGGGACCCCAACTCCAGTATGCTGGCTGGAGAGTTCTGGGAGTTGAAGTCCTCCCTTCTTAAAGTTGCCAAGGTTGAGAAATCCTGATCTAGACCAGAGTTGTTCAATCTTAGCAGCTCCTCCTGGAGTTCTCAGGCCAGCAGAGTTGAAGTCCACACATCTTAAAGTGTCTGAGATCAAGCAACACCAATCTAGATGACCAATCTAGGGCATTTTGCTAGATAGGCTGTGTGGTGTTGTAGATTTTCTAGGCGGACACCTGGTTTGGTGAAGCTGAAGAGAGGGGCAACCTTCCTTCTCGTCCACCTCCTCTGGCACTTCTCCAGCTCTCTAGAAGGGCTCCAGGATCATCTGCACGCTTACCCCTGTTTCAGATCAGCACAACACAGTTGTTGCTGAACTTTCTAAGCATTTTCGATAAAATTAGAATTCTGCAGATGGTACCCAGGCCTTCTTTATGGGAGAAAGAGAGAGATAGAGAGAGAGGGAGAGGGAAAGGGAGGGCGGGAGGGAGGGAGGGAAGGAGGGAGGAAGGAGGGAGGGAGAGAGAGAGAAAGAGAGAGAGAGAGAGGGAGGAAGGGAGTGAGGAGGGGGAGAAAGAGAGGGAGAGAGAGGGGGAAGAGGGGGAGAGAGGAAGGAAGGGAGAGAGAGGTGGAAAACCAGTTTTTTATGATTTGGTTGACTTACATCATGAAAATATTTTAGAAGGAGCGGAATGAGGTTGACTGCCTTCCATGCATGGGTTTCTATCTCGAGGTGTCTGAGGAGGAAACGCAGGGTCCTTATAGCTTCCTTCGCCACGGTCTTCTTTTCGTGACAAGCGCAGTTTAGCACTGGCATCAACAGTGGCTCCAAGATGTTCTTCTGGAGGAAACAGGGAGAGAAACGAGCAATTAAACACGGTCACTGGAGTTCTCTGAGTCTCGCAGCGATCATGACAAACACAAGAGAAGCCCACAGAGCAGAGAAGAAGAGGGTTGCAAAGGAACTTGGAGGTCTTCTAGTCCAACCCCCTGCTCAAGCAGGAGACCCTAGACTCTGATGGACAAATGGCTGCTGGTCTCTTCTTGAAAAGCTCCAGTGATGGAGCAGCCACAACTTCTGGAGGCAAGTCGTTCCAAGGATTAATTGTTCTCAGGAAATTTCTCCTTAGTTCCAGGTGGTTTCTCTCCTTCATTAGTTCCCATCCGTTGCTTCTCCTTCTGCTTTCAGGGGCTTTGGAGAATAGGTTGACCCCCTCTTCTTTGGGGCAGCCCTTCAAATACTGGAAGACTGCTCTCAGGTCTCCCCTGGTCCTTAACAGAATCCCAGAGATGGAAGGGACCTCAGAGGTCTTCTAGTCCAAGTCCCTGCTCAAGCCGGAGCCCCTATACTATTTCAGACAAATGGTTATCCAAACTCTTCTTGAAAAGCTCCAGTGTTGGAGCACCCACAACTTCTGGAGGGAAGTCCTTTCACTGGTTAATTGTTTTCAGTGTCAGGAAATTTATCCTAATTTCTAGGTTGCTTTTCTCCTTGATTAGTTTCCATCCGTTGCTTCTTGTTCTGCTTTCAGATGTCCTCCAAGAGGATCTGGCCTCTACTTGCTCCTTCAGATCTTCCAGGGGTGCAGCCATCTTTGTAGAAGAGACACCACTCTAGCTGTCCTCTTTCTGCTGGTTGCCTTCTTCTTCTCCTTCTTCTATCCTTCCCAGCCTTGTAGACTTCCCAGAGAGTGAGGTCACACCTGCTATTACCTTGGAAGCCACTCACTTCCTGCCCCCCCATCTCTTACCTCAAACGGATGTTGGATGAGGTTCCCCAATGCTCTAACACTGAAGATCTGTATCAGCGGATATGGCTGGCTCATCCATTCCATCAGCACCTGGAGGATGTCTTGGATGACAAAGAATTGGCAAATTTCTGGATGGTACAGCAGCTGAGGAAGAAGAGTGGAGATACGGAGCATTAGCCAAGCAAAGGAAGGGAACTTCCCTGAGAGCCTCTACTAAAGATGCCACTTTCAGCCATTACGGGGAGAGAACAAGAAAATAAACACAGTCCTGGTTTGGTGACTGCTGAAAGTCACAACGGCACTGACAAAAGGGATACGTCCATTTTTCAGAATTATGACCATGGTAGCATCCTCATGGTCATGTGATCAAAATTTGGGTACTTGCCGGTCCATATTTGAGTTGGAGACGTGGCTCTTTCGTCAACTTAACTGATCCGTTATGGGTGTTCATTGTTATAATTTTAAATTGTTTTAATTGGGTTGTTGATTTTAATTTATTGTGATTTGTATTGGATATTGTTTTTGTAAGCCGCCTTGAGTCCCTCGGGAGAATGGCGGCATATAAATCACAAAAATAAATAAATAAATAAATAAATAAAAAAATAAATAAATAAATAAATAAATAAATATTTATGACGGTCGCAGGGTTTCGAGCTTACGTCATCCCTTTTGTGACCGTCTGATAGGGCATGTAAAGGATAGTTCCAAGAATACAAAAAATAACCCTGGGCAACTTTCCTTGAGCTCCAGAAGGTTGGGGTGCATCTCAAGGTCTCCTCACCTCTGAAAAGAAAACCATCCCGATGGTTTTATGCCTTAAATCGGGGTGGCGCAGGTAGAGGTTGGCCTGTCGGAACATGACCTTCAGCTCATGTTTGGAGTAGTTGAACAAGTTCCTAAGAGAATAAATATGGAGAGATCAGACAAGATCTGCTGGTGAGGGAGAAGAAAATCTCCAAGCTAGAGAAATCGTGATCTGAATGATCGATAAATGAATTACTCAATGAATTACTCCATTTAGAGAATTTCTCACCCTCCCTCTCTCCCTCTCCCCTTCCTCTCCCTTTCTTTCTCTCTCTCCTTCTCTGACTCCCCCCCTCTCTCTCCCCTCTCCTCTCTCTCCTCCCTCTCTCTTTCTCACTCTTCCCTTCCCTCCCTTCCTCTCCTCCCCTCTAATCTTTCATCTCTCACACTTTTGCTTTCTGTGTCCCTCTCCCTCTTTCTCTCCCTCTCCCCTCTCCCCTCTCTCTCCCCTTCCATCTCTCTCCCCTTCCCCCTATCTCTTTGCCTCTTCCTCTCCCTCTCCCTCTGCCTCCCCTCCCTCTCTCACCCACTGCCCCTCGTAGCCAAGCTCTTTTGACTTTTAATTTCTTACCGGACCAGGTGGAAAATGCCTTCAAACACACTATCAGGACTCCTCAGCATCTCCCAACATCGAACCATGTCTAAATCCTTGAACTCCTCCTGATAGCCGCTACACAAGATGAGGTGTTTGACGGCTTCGACTGCGTTGCTAAATGAAACAAAGGAAGAAGAGTTGGTGCCAATCATTCCGCTGATCCCCCTATACTTACGACCGTTACAGTATCCCTATGGTCATGGGATCAGAATTCAGACTCTCGGCAACTGACCCGTATTTATGACGGTCGCAGTGTCACAGAGTCACGCGATCCTCTTTTGGGACCTTCTGACAAGCAAAGTCAACGGGGAAGCCAGATTCACTTAACAACCATGGGGCTTAACCAGGGCAATGATTCACTTAACCACTCTGGCAAGAAAGGTTGCAACATGGGACAAAGTTCGCTTAACGACTGTTTCACTCAGGAACAGAAATTTGGGGCCCCGTTGTGGTCGTAAGTCGACCTGGGGGAAACCTGTAGGCATCTCCTGAGCTTTGCAGAAATGGAGAAAGGCTCCAGATTGGGCCCAGGAGATTCCTTACCCCAGGTGGTTGGTCTCCTCTGACCCGCTCTTGCCTGCTCCCAGCAGGAAATAGATCTGCGTCACGAGCGCCAGGAGCAGGCTGGAGAACTTATTCTGGACAATGGTTGGTGCCTCAGGAAGCGAGAGGAGGAAGGAGAGCGCATTGGTGGCCTAGAAACAGAAGGAAAGGAGAGTCAGCTCGGGCTCATCAGATTACTTAGGTTCATCATCATCTTCTTCTTCTTCTTCTTTTAACGACCCCATAATCCCCTGCGGGGTGGAGTCTGGGCAACTGAATGGAGCTGAGGGTTTACTGGCTGGATGCCCTTCTTGTCGCCAATGCAGAGTTTTGTTCGGCAGATACATCCTCATTGTGCCCAGAGAAAGAAAAAAATCCTCATGTCCATGAAACCTGAGCCAGGAATGTCCATGTCTTTGACACGGAGCCAAATTTTGCTAGAAGTGGGACTTCTGAAACTCCCATTCTACACCCCCTGCCAGACTTTGAGAGCCAGTGGGGTGTAGATACACAGCAAAAGGGAGACAACGAGTAGCACAGGTGAGACAGAACTGGGGACAAAGAAATCGGTAACCTCACGGTTCTCTGTTTGTCTTCATTCCTAAGTGGCTCTTGACTCTCCACCTATTAGGTGATTGGAGGGGTCCTTGGTGCTTTCTGAGCATGTGTTTTTTCGTTGCAGATGTTTCATGACCCCACTAGGTAACATCATCAGTGCTCGAAGAGTTCGGCTTAGAGGTAGGGTTAGCCTGGTTGGGTCGTGAAACATCTGCAAGAAAACCACCAAGCTCAGTAAGCACCAAGGACCCCACAGTTCTCCTCCTCCTCCTCCTCCTCCTCCTCCTCCTCCTCCTCCTCCTCCTCCTCCTCCTCCTGATATTACTTGGTTGGGTAATGAAATGTCTGCAAGGAAACAGCGAAGCTCATAGAGCACCAAGGACCTCGCAGTCCTCCTCCTCCCTCTTCCTCTTCTTCCCCTCCACTCCACAAACCCCACTCCATTCTAGCCTTGATGATGTTACCTAGTTGAGTCATGAGACGCCTGCAAGAAAACCACCAAGCTCAGAGGGCACCAAGGACCCCACAGTTCAAACCTGGACTACAAATATTCTCTTCTATTGGTCTCAATTAATTAAATTTCTACACCGGCCATCTGAGCAATCTGACACTGGGCAGTTTACAACAATGTAATAAAACAACATAATACATAATAAAAATACAGATTAAAAATATTGAAAATAAGATATGACACAAAGTACTCCGTTGGGTGTTCACCTTTGTTGGTTCCTATCATGTATTTTCTTAAATCAAACTCTTTTTTAGTTATTTCTGTAAGATGGATGCGGCCTGTTCTGTAAGAAATAACTCAAGAAATGAATAAAGGAATCAATTGAATTATGAATGATTGGATGATTGGATGAGTAAAGGAATGAATACATGAAGGAATGTATGAATAAATGAATAAATGAATGAATGGATACATGAATGAATGGATTAATGAATAGATGAACTGATGGATGGATGGATGGATGGTTGGATTGATGGATGGATGGATGGATGGGTGGATAGATGAGAGAGATGGATGGATGGATGGATGGATGGATGGATGGATGGGTGGGTGGATAGATGATAGAGATGGATGGATGGATGGATGGATGGATGGATGGGTGGATGGATGGATGGATGGATGGGTGGGTGGATGAATGGATGGATATCAAAGCTGTTCGGGCGAGGAAGCCCACAGATGCCTCTACTTTCAATGGGGCATTTTGTGGGGGCCTTACTCCAAATTTTGCTCCAATTTCAGCCCCCACTAGTTTGCCCTCTGCCTCCCTCCAGCCAGGGCATGCCTGCTCCTGATGAGGAGACCCCCGAGGGCGACTCTTCTGCTCAGCCCCTTCCCCCTTCCCTCAGGCGTGGCCCACCTGCAGATCTAAGGAAAGGAGAGCCGCCGGTTGAGGGCTTACCGCAATGGGCATGATGGATTTGCTATTTCTCCTCCCAAAAGCTTCGGTGGTGGGGTCTTCGTTCTGAAGCCTTTTGAGGAGGGGCTTCATGATCTTCATGTTAGCATAGGGGTCTGCAGCCAGTGCCCTCCATAACTCCTTGGCACTTCTGTGCAGGTGGAAAAATAGATTGGGGGAAAAATCAGATTCTTTCCCCATTTTCGAAGAGACGGCCAGTCCAGAGAGATTAACTCCCACAACGGAAGAAAGGATTAGAGAACCGATGGCCAAATGAACTGCTTTAATGCATGGAAAAAAATATATCTACAGGTAGTTCTTGACTTGCAACCGTTTGTCTAGCAGCCATTCAAAGGAGGGCCTCTGCGCCACCGGAAGTGCCAGGGAACCCAGAACTGGTCAAGGGAGGGGACGTTTCTAGGAGCAGTGTGTCTGCAGAATTAACCCAAAGGTGCTTTTCACAGAATGACCGAGTTGGACGGGACCTTGGAGCAGTGGTGAAATTCAAAAATTTTCCCTACCGGTTCTGTGGCCGTTTCTTGGTGGTCATATGACCAGGCGGCCGTGGCTTGGCGGTTATGTGACCGGGTGGGCGTGGCTGCACAACTGATTCACACACGATGCAAAAGCAGCTGGACTTCACATAAAATGGCCTCTGCAACAACTAGGAACCTCACTGAGTCACTGACAGCTCAAAAGCAAACTATCACACTTTACACAAAAGTAACACAAAAGCTACACAACTGCCTCACACACAATGCAGAAGCAGCTGGACTTTGCACAAAATGGCCCCTGCAAGCAACAGGAACCTCACAGACAATCAGGCACAGCTGATTTTCTCACAGCTGACTGGTAGTAAAAAAATGCTGAAATTAGAAATTAAAAAAAGGTTCTGACATTGCCCAGCACAGCTGATTGTCACACAGCTGATCTTGGAACTTTTTTTTTTACTTTTTAAAGCATTTTTTTACTATGGTTTGGGCGAATAGGTAGTAAAAAAATGCTTTAAAAAAGTAAAAAAAAATTCCACCGAACACGCAGCACAGCTGATTGTCCTACTTTTTAAAGCGTTTTTTTTTAACTACTGGTTTGGGCAAACAGTAGCAATTATTAAAATCGGTTCGGGCGAACCAGACCAAACCGGTAGGATTTCACCCCTGCCTTGGAGGTCTTGTACTCCAAACCGCTTCTCAGGCAGGAAATCTTATCCCATGTCAGACAAATGGCTGCCCAATCTCTTCTTGGAAACCTCCAGTGATGGTGCACCCACAACTTCTGGAGGCGAGTTGTTCCACTGGTTAATTGTTTGCACTGTTAGGAAAGTTCTGCATATAGTAGGTTGCTTCTGCCTTTGATTCGTGTCCATCCTTTGCTTCTTGTCCTGCCCTCAGGTGGTTTGGAAAATAGGTTGACCCCCTCCTCTTTGTGGCAGCCCCTCAGATGTCAGAACGCTGCTATCCTGTCCCCCCTCAATCCTTCCTTTCATTGAACTAGAGAGACCCAATTCCTGCAACTCTTCTTCCTATGTTTTAGGCTCCGGTTCACTAATCATCTTCGTTGCTCTTCTCTGCACTCTTTCCGAGTCTCTGCATTGTTTCTACAGTGTGGCGACCAAGAAAGTTGAAAAACCAAGGAGGTCCAGCTGCCTTTTGGAAAAGCACTTTTGGGACAACCATGACCTGGATGGTGGAGACAACCAGCCTAGGAAGCCCTCAGAATTCAGATCGACTGCACAGCCAACCAGCGACTGCACTGGCCCTCAACCAACCCACTGCAACCTCCCCCCTCAATCAGCACATGACCTGCCCACCCCAAGTCCTTCATCTGTGAGCCACACCTGACCCATCAGAAGACCCTCACCTCATGCGACCCTCATCTGATGTGTCCTCCCCATCACAAGACCCTCACCTGACGTGATCCACAACTGACCAATGACCAGACCCTCACCTGACATGATCCACAACTGATGTGACTTCTCCATCATAAGACCTACTGACCACACAAAGCCCTTACCAGCAGAAGAACATCAACACTGGTGTTCCCTAAACTCCGCTGAAGATGTTACCTGGCCTGGTAACGAAACGTTCAGAAACCCACCCAGAAGCTCAGAGAACCAACCTCCACCCTCATCTTCCACCCGAGCTACAGGTATTCGCCCCTATCGCAAATGGTTGAGAATCTCTGTGGCATATAAGAAAGCAGGAGGCACATCTCCTTGAGGTTCTTCTTACCCATCGCAATCCACCGAGCACTCAAGGAGAATATCCACGACTCTGTTCACCCGTTTGGACGCCACGTGACAGACTGCCTTGAGAGTTTGTTCTTTGGTGGCAGGGTCCGAGATCTTCGGGAGACGCATGTAGATCTCCTTGAGGATCATGGGCAGCTATGGCAAAAGAGAGATCCGAGGGATGAGACCGTCTGCGACCGTCATAATATGGAACATGTTTGCTAAGCCCCTGAATTTTATCCCGTGACCCTGAGGATGCTTAAGAGCCTCAAGAGGTCGTCCAAACCCTTCTTGGCCTTTGTTTTTTAATGTCAACTGGAATGGATCCAGGAACAGATGAGGAACATCCAAAAAGACTGATCTCGAACTCAGGACCACCCCAGCCACTAGCAAGAAACCCTGCGGTCCATAGTTCAAATGTTGGGTAGCCGCTAATTCCCCACTTCTGTGCTTTTTCTGGTCTCTTGGACTACCACCTCCATTATCCCCAAGCAAGTCCAGATAGGATGCCTGAAGGCAACTTTTTGATTGATTGATTGATTTGTTTATTTAACTCCACCTTTATTACTTTTACGGATAATTTGAAGCGGAGAAGATATCCATCTTGTACCTTCTCCCTCCTCTTTCCCCCACAATCACCCCCCTGTGAGGTGAGTTGGGCTGAGAGAGAGAGAGAGAGAGAGACTGGCCCAAAGTCACCCGTGTGGCTTTCATGGCTAAGACAGGACTTGGCCTTCTCCTGCCTTCTAGCCTGGCGCCTTAACCACTGCCAGACTGGCTCTCCAACTGTTATTTCTCATGAAAACAATAGGGCTATTTGTTTTGCCCTTACCTTCTTCTGGAAGGTTTGGCCAACTTTCTCAACAGCCCTAAGATCACCTGGTGGTCTCCCATCCAGCTCTAGCCTTCTTAAATCCAGCCAAAGTGTTGTCACCAAGCCAACAAGGTCTCACCCATTCTCATCTTTCTTTTCTCCAAAATCTCCTCTATCCCTTTTGCTCCAAACCCTGCCATTTTCTTACCTCCTCCATCTCCATCCCACATTCCTCCAAGAACGAATTGAGCAGGAGTCCCGCAGTGTGTGAAATGTTCTTGTCCGGGTCTGTCAGAGCCTCCAGGGCTTTTAAGATCAGGTCGTTTATTTGTGAAGGGCTCAGATGCTCGCCAAAGGCCTATCGGAAGGAAGAAAAGGAGACCATGAAGAGATGCATCAGGGTTTTGACTCCCTCCTTCTCTCGACAAGCCAGAGACTTTGACCCAGATTTGGGGACAGCACCCCACGTAGAGAGGCAGGCCTTATTCCATGTCATCCATCAGGTAAACTAAACTAAAACGTACCTTAGCCATTTTGGAGACGTTATTATAAAATATGGTGGGGCCCGAAAGGAAGAAGTCTTCCCTCAGCCAATTGACGATGTTCCCCTTCTTGTTCTTGGCCTTCTTGTCCATTTCTTTGGCTGTGGAGGGAGGAAAAGAAGAGAAGGTCAGATTTTGGCATTCGGAGCTTCTGAAGATCCTTCGTCTGACGGCCGCTTCAGTCGTTCCAACAGAAGAGAAGATCTGCAGCTCAGGGCTGACCTGAGGGGTCCCTGGTGCTCTCTGGGCTTGGTGGTTTTCTTGCAGACGTTTCATTGCCCAACTAGGGAAGATCATCAGTGATGATGACCATCAGCACTGAGAGGGCAAAACTCTCAGTGAAAAGCTCCTTCCCTTCTAGTACTGATGACATTAGCTAGTTGGGTCATGAAATGTTCACAAGAAAACAACAAAGCTCAGAGAGCACCAAGGACTCCACAGTCCTCCTCCTCCTCCTCTTCCCTCCCTCCCTCCTTCTCCCTCCCTTCCTCCCTAGCTGAAACACTTAACGTGAGAAACTCAGCCTTCTAATGACCTCTGGCCCTGAGAGGTGCCAATATCAGCTGCCAATTCCAGGCATCTCTGCCCAGCCCAATGACCAGCAGGCTGGGACACCCAGGGCTCTCCTGGGCAGGGCGCATCCCTGGGGCTCCTGGCAGCCCTTGGAGTCCAACTTTCTCACCCAGTTTGCTCATGATGAGGTGGTGGAGGTGGTAGGCGGCCTCTGCGGACGTCTGGCCAACTTCTTCGCTGGTGTCGCCAACGTGCAGGCCCAGCAAAGCCACCAGCTGTCCCAGCAAAGAAAAGTCAGCTGTGGTCTAATGAAAGGAAGCAGGAAGGAGGGGAGAGATGAGAACGGGGGGCTCATGAAGGTTTCAGCCAGCTGAAATCGGAGAATATGAACCATAGCACCACAGAATCCTAGAATCGTCCATTTTAGAATCCTAGAATCACAGAATCTTAGATACAGAGAATCTTAGAATTTTAGAATCATAGAATCATTGAATATTTGAATTTTAGAATCATAGAATCTACAAATCATAATCCTAGAATCTTTGAATCATCAAATCTTTGAATCATAGAATCATAATCATAGAATCATAGAATCTTTGAATAATAGAATATTTGAATCTTCAAATCTTTGAGTCTTCAAATCATAGAATCATAGAATCATAGCATCACAGAATCTTAGAAACATAATCTTTGAGTCTTCACATCATAGAATCTTTGAATCATAGAATTTTGAATCATAGAACCTTAGAATTATAGAATTTTAGAATCTCAGAATTATAGAATTTTAGAATCCCAGAACCTCAGTTGCTGGGAGGGACTGTGGAGGTTTTCTCCTCCAACCCCTTGCTCAAGCGGGACTCCTTATATCCTCCTGGTCACATCCCAAAGATGCTTTTTCCAAAAGGACTTCCTTCTTTTTTTCCCTTTCTTTGAAAACATCTCCCTTCTCATCCCAAACGGTGACTTACGTCGAAATTGACGTTTTCAGAAACGAACTTCAGGAGGTGCCTGGTGCTCTTGATGGCCCTCTCTCTCTCGTGACTCTTGGGGGATTCAATCCAGGGATTCGTGTGCTGCCAGGAAAAACAAAGGAGGAGAAGGAGGAAAGGAAGAATTTGTGATTCACAGTAGGAAGAGCCACAGAATTTGCCAGGACTGGGGAGAAAATCTAAGGAACTAAACGAATTTGAGGCGGTTATCAATTTAGGTCTATTCTAGACTCAAAACTAGAGTAGGAGTTGAAGATTTCTGGAATACAGCTAGTCTTACAACAGTTCATTTAGAGCCGTGGTGGCACAGTGGTTAGAATGCAGTATTGCAGGCTAATTCTGCCGACTGCCAGCAGTTCAGCAGTTCGATGCTGACCGGCTCCAGGTTGACTCAGCCTTCCGTCCAGAATCCGTGACAGAATTGCCAAATCCAGCCTAACCATCTGGCTGACCGTGCGACCAACCCCAAGAAAGAATCACTCTTTACCGTCATGATCTCCTGCAGGGAATCCAAATTGGGAGCCTCGGACAGCAAGCCGGTGAGCATGGTGTTGCAGGCGTTCGCCGTCTGGTGATAAAAGTCCTAAAAGAAGAAAAAGAATGTCCGAAGGAAGAAGTGGCGTAAAGGAAGGAACGGCGCCTAAAAGAGGAAGAAATCCAGGGGTGGGGAATTTATGGCCTTTTTAGTACGACTGGTGGACTGCAACTCCCAACAATCCTGAGCCAGCCATGGACTTCTGGGAGTTGAAATCCACAAGTCTGCATTAAATGGAGTGGCCCACCTTGCAGGGCTGATTTTTCTTCCAGAGTTGGAGGAAATGCTTTCTCGGCTGAACATGAGGAACAAAAGGACTTCCTTCCTGTTACATTCAGAACAGACCGACCAAAAGGTTGAATGTCTTCCTTAACAGTTTTGGGATATTCAAATACAGGCAGTCCTCAACTTACGACCACAATTGCGCCCAAATTTCCATTGCTAAGCGAGACATTAGTGAAGTGAATTTTCCCCTCATTTTATGACCTTTCTTGCCACTGTGGTTGTTAAGTTAGCCACATGGTTCTTAAGTGAATCGGGCTTCCCCATTGAGTGGTGCAACTGTTGTAAATCTGAACCGGTTGTTAAGCGTCTGAATTCTGAGACTACCTAGGAATCATAGCTAGTGAATGCAGAACATGGTTGTTCTGCCCCACCGTGGCCCTTCTTTTGTTCGGGGGCAAAGGGGGGAGATGGGAATTGGTCTTGAGAAGACACTTCAACCAGAACACAAAAGAGAAGTGGAGGAAGAGAGAGAAGATGGCAAGGAAAACCATATAGAGATGCTTAGGACTTAATAATAGGTAGTCCTATGCTCCAGAAACTTATAATGAGAAGTGGACGCATACTTTCAGGACCAAAGATGAAGGGACAGGCCAAGGTGCCATTGGGATTGAAGGATGGATCAAGAGTTTTTGAGGAGATCTTGAATCATGTTTACCAGATCCTTGTTTCCAGGTGGATCTCAGATGGCTTTACTCCATCTGGACTGCTCACCTGAGTTTGAGTTGATTGCCCTGGGCTGTTCGCTTTCAGTGTGGTCATCTTGAAAGCCGGCAAGGAAAACACCTTCTGGATGCTTTTGCTCACCACTTTAGACCTCATCTCAGAGTTCAAGGTGGGTTTCATACGGCTGATGAAAGACAAGAAAAAAGGAGGAGGGTGAGAAGATCATAGACTCATTGGGCTAAAAGGGACCTTGGAGATCTTCTACTCCAACCCTTGCTTGATGGTCCTTAAACCATCCCAGTCATATGGTTGTCCACTCTTTTCTTGAAAATCTCGAGTGATGGAGCACCCCCAACTTCTGGAGGCAAATCGTTCCACCGATTGATTGTTCTCAGTGTCAGGAAATTTCTCCTGGATCTCTCTTTGATAAGCTTCCATACATCGCTTCTTATCTTGCTCTCAGGTACTTTGGAGAGGATGTTGACCCCCTCCTCTCTGTGAGAGCCCCTCAAATATCAGAACTCTTCTACCATGTCTTCCCTGGTCCTTCTCTTCACTAGGCTAGCCAGGCCCAGTTCCTGCAACCGTTCATCATCTGTTTGGGCCTCCAATCCCCTAATTATCTTGGTTGCTCTTCTCTAAACTCTTTCTAGAGTCTCAACATCTTTTTTATATTGTGGTATAATATCTCTCTCTCTCTCTCTCTCTCTCTCTCTCTCTCTCTCTCTCTCTCTCTCTCTCTCTCTCTCTCATGTAAATTCATCACTCTTCCAAATTCTGGGGCTGACCTGCTAACTCAATGTATGCTCTACAACAGGGGCATCAAACTCAAGGCCCTGGGATGGATGCGGCCCGCGATGTGGTCGGATCTGGTTCGTGGGGGCCATCCTGGTCTTCCCAATGCAAAGAGGAAAGATCGGGCCAGCATGGCTTCCAACCCAATGCGAAGAGGAAACATGCCAGCAGTTTGGGGAGTGACATCAAGCTGGCCACACCCACCCCGTCGGCCACACCCACTCATTTGGTGACCCCCGCCCATCCATCCCCGAGGTCAACCACAGCCCTGATGTGGCCCTCAGTGAAATTGAGTTTGACACGCCTGCTCTAGAGCATGGGGACTTGGCATTGAAATCCCATCACTGGGTCCAACTCCAAGTTCCTACTGAGCTGGTGGGAAGATGAGGGTGGAGCAGGTAGGTACCTTATGCAGGTGATGGTGACGATCGCTTGATGGAGAATTACAACGGACAAGGGTCTCGAGGGCTGATCTTCAATGACTTCCTGAAAGGAGAAAGAAACACATCTAAGAAAGCTCCTGAGATATGGCCACCATCCAGCTGCCCCTCTTCCCAGCCCTATGCTTTTTCTGGTTGACACAGGAAGTCCCCAACTTACAACTGGTCGCTTAGCCACCATTTAAAGTTTTGAGGGATCTCTCCAGGACTACTTATGACCAGGTGCAAAGTTCCAATAGGCGTCCCTTCCTCAGGGATCATATGACCTTATTTTGGTCACTTGGCAACCAGTGTCCCGTGACCATGATTTAAGTCAGGGATGGGTAACTGCTCTTTACGATCCATATAAAATTGGGAAGCCAGATTCACTTAACTACCATGCAAATAATTTAAGGAAAATGATTCAGCTAACAACAGTGGCAAGACAGGTTGTACAATGGGCAGAATTCACTTAACAAATGTCCCACTTAGCAACAAAAATATTTTGGGCTCAATTGATTGGTATTCAATTCGATTCAAATTCACTTTCAAAAATAAATAAGCCCAGGAGCACCTGCCTCCCTTCCCTCTCCCCACTTACAATGATGTTTATGACCAATTCCTGTTTATGGGGCAAATGGATGTCTTGCCTCCTGCTGTAGGCAACAGCTTTGGTGATCATGATGATAGACCTCATGAACGCTGTCTTCAGCCCTTCGTCCTGGGAAACACACATGGGAATAGGGTGGGGTCAGAAAAACCAAAGGAAGGGCCTCTGGTTGAAATTCCAGCACCTTCGGAAGTGAGCTCCACAGCCCCGTTCCTAGCTCTCTCTGTCGGGGGCTTCATTCGAAGCCATAGCCACCCTGTAGGGGTGGTGAAGCAAAGGGGGACCACCTTGCAGGTTGAGGGGAGCCGCATCTCCCCTCCCTGACTCGGAAAAACCTCTCATCTGAAGACTAGGAGTAGCGGCATTCAAAAATGGCTGCCATGAAGCCGGGGAACATCCAGAAACCATCAGTTTGTGCAGGAAAAGAGAAATGGTGAATGATGTGTTGTCTGGGTGAGATATAAAAAAATATATATTGGATATATAAAAATGACTTGAGGAGTGGAGGATCCCTGAAGCAACCAACTGATTTGATTGAACATTGATGAGACATTAAAATTTGACTTGGAGGCTTGGTTTCTGAACCGATGATTGTGGAGAATTAAACAGAACGGAGTCAATGATTCAAAGCATTAAGGACCTTATACTGGATATATGAATAATAAAACAGATGATCATGTCTTTGAATATAATTATGTGAAGGGGGAAAATGTTAAAAGTTTAGAATGGAAGGATGGTAAAGCAATGTATTCATGATATGGAATAAGGAAAATGGAATGTAATAATTATGAATATATTTGTATTGAATTATATGATACTCAGATACCACACCATTCACATAATGATATGTATAAACTACACAAATATAAAAAAAACTTTATTCAAAAAAAAAAGGAAGAAAGAAAAACCAAAAGGAAGAGGATGTAATTATTTATTTAAACCTTTAGGTAGCCGATTGTCTTTGGTTGAACTCTGGGGGCTCACAATCAAAACATCACTGGGCATTCTGGGTTCTAGTCCTGCCTTAGGTATGAAAGCTGGATTGGTAACTTTGGGCCAATGACCAACAAACTGTGAGTTCTAGTCCCGCCTTAGGATGAAAGGCAGCTGAGAGACTTTGGGCCAATCACCAGGAGACTGTGAGTTCTAGTCCCGCCTTAGGATGAAAGGCAGCTGAGAGACTTTGGGCCAATCACCAGGAGACTGTGAGTTCTAGTCCCGTCTTAGGCATGAGGGCCGGCTGAGTGAGTTGACTCACACAACATCACAGAGTTGTTGTTGTGTGGAAAGGAAGAAAGCGTATAATGTGCATGTGCTGCCTTGAGTATAATAAATGCAGCATGACCATAGATCCTCCTCCTCCTCCTCTCCCACAACATGCTAGTTGGGTCATGAATTGCCTTTAAGAAAGCAATCAAACTAAGGACTCTGGATTATAATTGTTCTCGTAATTAAACTCAGCATTAAGAGAAATATAGGGTGGAAACCAGCCGACCTTGTTCCTGGTGGAATACTGGTCGAGTATTTCTGAAATAATGTTGTCCATGAGAGGCACCATGTCTTCCACTTGCGCTCCCAGGACTGCCTGGCCGTAGCAGAGGATTAGTGTGGTCCGAATCCGTCTCTCGGAGAGAGTCTGTGACTCCTGTCAGTACAAAGACGAGGGGGTCAAGCTATTTCTCAGAGCACCAAAGACTAGAGAAGAAGCAATGGATGGAAAGTGACCAATCTGAGGAGACCAGACAGCCTGGTGCATAAGTCCTTCCAAGCACCTTGGACTTTCCTTCCCAGAATCCCCCAGGCTCCTTCTGAACTTCTCTTCAGACCTTGCAACCCCATCCCTGGTCTTACCTCACTGGTGGCTTCCAGCGCAAAAGGTGCCTTGGGCTGCCTGAAATGTCCAGCCTCTTTCAGGACCTCCAGAATCTCAGGCAGGTGGCAAAAGGCAACCATTCGAATGGTTTCCGAGATTCCCTAGGCAAAGCGATGTTTGTGAATTAGGACATTTGCAAATTTCTCTTTCTCTTTCTCTTCCGCTTTCTCCTCCCCTTCTCCACCTCCTCCTCCTCTCTGCAAACCCCAGGCCCTTCTAGCACTGATGAAATTGCCTAGCTGGGTAATAAAATGTCTGCAACAAAACAACCAAGCACAGAGAGCAAGGACCCCACAGTCCTCCTCCTCCTCCTCCTCCTCTCTCTAACCCCCATTCTCTTCTAGCACTGATGATGTTACCTAGCTGGGTAATGAAACATCTTCAAGAAAACAACCAAGTTAAGAGAGCACCAAAGACCCCACAGTTCTTCTCCTCCTCTCCTCCTCCTTCCTCCTCCTCCTCCCTTCACGCTGCAAAACCTTTTCCTTTCTAGCACTGATGACGTGACCTAGTTGGGTCACTAAATGTCTGCAAGAAAACATCCAAGCTCAGAGAGCACCAAGGACCCCACAAAGATGGAGGTCTCAGCCCCCGCAGGCATCCCACTCCCACTCACCTCTCGGTCTGTTTCTTCCTGGAACGAAAAACTTAGAAGGCTTTTGAGCTGTTCCGTCACCAGGTCCTTCTGTCTTGAGTTTCGCAGTTTAACGCCATAATATTTGTATAGGTTAATCTGAAGGTGGGAAAAAGAGTCCGTGAGTCCTAGGGAGCTCCACCAATTGGCCAGGAAAAGGAAATATAGGACAAATTATGATCAAAAATGGACTCCCTGTAGCCAAGCACAAGGAAAGTGGTCCCAGGTGATCTGATCGGGGAGATGGGCAGCATATAAATCTAATAAGTTAATAGTTGCCATTTTGACTTTCTTCTTCTTCTTAGCTACTTTAAACCCCCCCCCATCCCTATGGGTGCCCTTGCTGATTCTCTGTTTGGGGGTCCTGATATGCTTTATGGTTTCTGTGGGGATCGTGCAGCTTCATCTTTTTAAATGCATTAGCTCTCCGTGGTGGATTGGGACAACTTGCCATGGGCCTCTTGGCTTGGCCAACTCACCAGGGAACAAGAGTTACACTAATAGCAGGCTTCCAATATCTCAGGGGCTGCCACAAAGAGTGGGGGTCAGCCTATTCTCCAAAGCACCCGAAGGCAAGACAAGAAACAATGGGTGGAAACTTGTCAAGGAGAGAACCAATCTAGAACCAAGGAGAAACTTCCAAATAGTGAGAACAATTAACCAGTGGAACAGTTTGCCTCGAAAAGTTGTGGGTGCTGCATCACTGGAGGTTTTAAGAAGAGATGGGACAACCATTTGCCTGAAATGGGAAAGGGTTTCCTCCTTGAGTAGGGGGTTGGACTAGAAGACCTCCAAGGCCCCTTCCAAGTCTGTAATTCTATTATTCATTTGTCTGTCTAATATCGAAGAAACGGTGGAACAGAAGCATCAAAGAAAGGATGCCAAAGGAAGGACAAAATGAGACACGAACGACAAACATTAAAATGATTTTTAACATTATTGGAGAGAACGGAATTCTTGAATTAACCCTCAGCGAGTCTGCTGTGGCTCGTGGGCAGCCACGGTGAGTTGGCCACGGCAAGTCGTCCTCTTCTGACGTTGCATCTAAGACAACTGTGGCCCTAAAAGTGTAAAACCTCCGCATATTTACCTTGTCTTTAGACAAGACCTGGGACGTGCTTTGCTCCTGGTCGATGGGCGGCAATGGGCTTGTTTTCCTCCTGGGCAGTTTGTGGTCTGAAGGAATCTGCTTTGCCAACAACAACAAGAACAACAAAAAAGAAGTTGTGAGAAAGTGAAGGAGCAGAGGAAGGAACAGCTTTCTGTGTGTTTCCAACGGGAGGGTTGGTTTCCCTTCTGCGTCCGGATGCATATTATAATTAATTCGACTTTTCTAGCTGGGACAGACACGAAGCACGTAACAAGGACCATCCGGATTGTATCAGCTGGACCTGAGGCAGCTTTTGAGATGAACGGTTGGAAAATCTCTGCCAGAAATTGTGAGAACTTTATTTATCACCATTTATTGTTGGGGCCCTCCAGCAGCTGAATCAGTGGAGGAAGAGGAGGAGGCGTAGGAGTCAGGGCCAGCATCAGGGCAACCTGAGAGCTCCGAGGGGGAAGAGGGAATGGAGCTGGCAGAGAGAGAGAGAGAGAGACAGAGGAGGAGCCTGGGCTGTCCGTCAGCCCTCAGATGGAGAGTCAACAGTTCCCAGGTCTGGAGGTGGCTGAGGAGGAAGAGGAGGAACAGCTGGGTCCAGAGCCTGACGTGTGGATGCGCAGAAGGCAGAGGAGAGGAGAGCCGGGGAAATCTATGGGCTGGACCTTGGTACAGAAGAGCCACCACTGCTAGCGAAGCCCCTCTCTAGCTCTGGGGATAAAAGGCAGGGGGTGGGGATGTATAGATGTGGCAGACAACTATTCTTCTCCCTGCCGGATGGACTTCTTAGCCTGCGGTGAGAGAGAAACTTTTAACGGGCGCTGCTGGCTCTCCTCATAAAGGAATCTTTGAGTTCACTTCAGAAGGTTTGTCGTGTTTGGGTGAGAACATTTATTTACTGACTGTTCGAAGTTCTAACGAGTAGTTTACAACTGAAAAAAAGGGACTTTGTTTTTCACACTCGGGACCATTTCGCATTTCCGTGGCATGCAGAGAGTTTCCGGTCCCTGTTGCTGCTGCCCAGCATTCAGTGCCAGACAGTGCAACAGGGCGGATGGTGGTCTTGTAGATCTTAGATTTAAGATGGGTGGCCATTCGTCTGTCCAGTAACACACTGGTGAGATCTCGTATCTAGGCTGCATTCTCCTTCACTCGCACCTCACCATTGATGTCACCATTGACATTGGAGGTGGGATCCCAGATACCAAAAAATGTCCACCTTCTTTAGGTTTTCTCCATTGATTTGAAGCGTTCCAGGGGTGGTGACAGTCCCTAAGTACCCAGTTGTCTTGATGTTGAGGTGGAGTCTGAAATGGTTGAGGCGATCATTCCATGGTTCTTCCATGATCCTTCCAGCAAGGACCCCATAGTTCAGCAAATTCTCCATAACTACATTTGTCTCCTTTTGGGATAAATGATCTGCACCGAGGCAGCCCTGGCTTCTGCAACCTCTCCACGATGGACCTCAGGGCCCACCACGACACAAACCCAGCTGCTTACCTGGAAAGGACGAAGATGGTCCAAGATGGTCTCTAATATTTCTCTCTCGTCCATCAGATCCAAGATTTCTTTGACGGGTCTGCCTTTCAATGCCTTCCTGCTCTCCCACAAACTTCTGAAGCACTCGTCCGAGAGTTCTGAGAAGAAGAGACAGACAGAGATTGATGGGCAATTCGACAGGACAAGCCTTCTCAAAGCAGAGAGAGACAAAGAGTGCGTAGTGGATCACCAGGCTGAGCCTGAGGGAGGGGTCAAACGTGTCATAAGTCTCGAGTCCCTGATCTTCATGTCCTTAGACAACCATCTTATATATGGAATTGGAAATTTTTATTGTTTTGAAATTTCATGATGTCGTAATCTTATAATTTAGATATAGCCTTTGAAAAAGGCTAAGCTGGAGGGGCCTTTCCTCACTTCTGAGGGCAAGATGTTCCCTAATACAGTGGCAGCGGTAGAGAAGACCCTCTTCCTAGACCCCACCAGTCGAAACTCTTTGACTGATGGAGTCTGCGCCATAACGTCCCTGCCTGATGAAGGACGATTGCAGGATTTGGATTTGGGTAGTCTAGAGAAAAGAAGGAAGGGTGTACTTGTGACATGAGAGCAGTCTTCCAGTATTTGAGGGGCTGCCACACAGAGGAGGGGGTCAACTTATTTTCCAAAGCACCAGAAGGCAGGAAGAGAAACAATGGATGGAAGCTACTCAAGGAGAGAAGCAACCTGGAATTAAGGAGAAACTTCCAAACAGTGAGGACAATCAACCAATGGAATGGCTTCCCACCAGAAATCGTGGGTGCTTCATCACTGGAGCCTTTTAAGAAGAGACTGGATAGCCATTTGTCTGGGATTGTATAGCATCTCCTGCTTGAGCAGGAGGTTGGATTGGAAGACCTCCAAGGTCCCTTCTGGCTCTGTTCTGATTGATTGATGGATTGATGGATGGATGGATTGATTGATGGATGGATGGATTGATGGATGGATGGATTGATTGTGTGGGATGGGCTGATGTGAAAGGACAAGGCTGGTTCCATAGGTAGCCCAGCCCTGTAGCGTCTATACCTGGATACGAAGGCAGGATGGCGTCTGGAGAGCGTTTTCTCCCCGGAGCCCTTTCCCTCTCGGGCCTCCTTGGCAAGGGAGGGGGCTCCTTCTGTCCAGCCTTGATCTCCCGCTGAGGAGCCCTCGGAGTTGTCCTGTGCACCAAGTCGGGCAGGACCAGCGCTGGAGGCTGCATCTTCTTCCTGATGTCCACTGGAGCTGACTTCACAAGCAGGGGTAAGACCTGCGTGGTTCTTTGAGTGGCCGAAGAAGTGGACGGGTGGGCTTCTTGGTTGTTCCACTGCCGTGGGTCATTACTGCTGATTTGTGGATGGGTCTCCTTGCTTTCCTTCTTCAAGAAGGGCAACTTCTTCAGCATGTGGTCCATTCTCTCGTGAAGAGGGAGTTCTTGAACTGGAGGGAGATCCTGTCAATAAAGGAGAAGTTTTGTAACTCCAGGTTGAAAGGAGGGGTCCTTGGTGCTCCTATCTATCTATCTATCTATCTATCTATCTATCTATCTATCTATCTATCTTATTTATTTATCACATGTTCTTCCTGTGTCAACAAGCTCAGACTGCCCAAGGAGCAGCTGATCTACAGAGGAATTTTGGCGTCTCTCCTTTGTGCTTCTCCAACTGTCTGGTTTGACACAGCAACCAAACTAAAAGTCCACTAAAAAGAGAAGAGGGCAAGGAAGTTACAGGCAGCAGAGAGAAAGCAGAGCTGCTTAACTCATTCTTTGCTTCGGTCTTCACGCAAAAAGAAACTATAGCCCAACCTACCAAAAACGTAACTGTAAAAGTCAGACTAGAAATAAAAGTTAAAACAGGGAAAAAATAAAAAAAGAGAGAGAACACCTGTCTGATGTCGAGGAATATAAGCCACCAGGACCTGAAGGATTACATCCCAGAGTTTTGAAGGAGCTGGCAGATGTTATCTCAGAACCATTGTACCATATCTTTCAAAAATCTTGGAGCACTGGGGAACCACCAGAGGATTGGAAAAGAGCTGATGTGCTTCCCATCTCCAAAAAAGGGGGAAAAATCAGGCCCAGGAAATTACAGACCAATCAGCCTAACATTCAATACCTGGGAAGATACCGGAAAAGATAATCAAAAAACAGAGGTGCCAACATCTAGAAATAAATAAAGTTCTAGCTAGAAGCCAGCGTGGGTTTGTTAAAAACAGATCAAAACAAAACAATCTTATTTCATTCTTTGACAAAGTGACTAAATAAGTAGACCAGCGAAATGCGGTGGACATACTCTACTTAGACTTCAGCAAGGCCTTTGACAAAGTAGACCACTCCGCTCTGCTCTGCTCTGCTCTGCTCAACACAACTCAACTGAGCTCAACTATCCTCCTCTCCTCAACTCTCCACAGCTCCCCTCTCTTCCCTTTTGCCTTTATATCTCTGCCCCAGGGGCTGTGACATCAGCGCATTGTGTTCTCAGGGGGGACAGCTGGTGTCATGACCCAAGGGGCCTCTTACTCCCCAAGATAATAGGGATGGGATATGGAGGGTCCCCTGGATAACCCCCTTGATAACATTAGCCACATTATGGGGAGCAAAGCTGGGGTCACTATGGAAAGACCCACTGTGATGGTGTCCCTCAACTTGGTAGATCTCAAAAGAACCTAACCAAGCTTAAGGCTGATCAACTTTGTTCTTTGATTGGCTGAGTCTTCCACTGAGCTTGGTTTTTTAATATTTTTTTATTATGAGATATGAGATAGGAGATATAGGATACATGATATACTGGTGTAGATATACTTGGATTAGAAGACCTCCAAGGTTCCTTCCAACTCTCTAATTCTATTCTATTCTATTCTATTCTTATGGAGTCCTTGGCTTATGACAGTTCTTTTAGTGATGCTTCAAATTACAACAGCACTGAAAAAAGTATTTTTCACACTTATGACCATTCTGGCATCTCCACGGTCATATGATCAGAATTCGGACCTTTGGCAAGTGACTCACATTTATGACGAGTCACGTGATCCCCTTTGACGACCTTCTGGCAAGCAAAGTCAAGGGGGAAACCCGATTCACTTAACAACCATGTTACTAATGTAATGTTGGGCTCAGTTGTGGTTGCAAATCGAGGACTACTTGTAAATATGATTTTTGGGGGGGTCCAGTTTCTGCACTGCCCATCATCGCTGGGGTGTTGTAGTAGTTTTGGTAAAACTCTCCAATGATATAAAAGCTGCAGTTGAAAACAAAGTTTTTGTGAAAAAACCAAACAGTTTTTTTAAAAAAAAAAAAGGCAAAAGGGACAATTGCAGAGTCGAAAGGAGAGGAAGCTCCTTCGGCCCACCAACCCCCCCCCCCCATGGCTTGCAGGGCCCCCTTGGGCCCCCAGACCAGCTGGCAGAGTTGAGTCTTCGTGCTCCTGGGGAAGGTCAGGAGGCTGGGGGCCTGCCTCCTCTCTGGGGCTGGGCTACCTAGACGTAGAACCACAATTCAGCCCAAGAGGCTTGGCAACTGGCATGTACTTATGACGGTTGCAGTGTCCCGAGGTCACATGACCCCCTTTTCTGACTTTCTGACCAGCAAAGATGATGAGGAAGCCAGATTCAGTTCCCAACCGTGTGACTAACTGATAGGATAGGATAGGATAGGATAGGATAGGATAGGATAGGATAGGATAGAACAGAACAGAACAGAACAGAACAGAATAGAATGAGCTGGAAGGGATCTTGGAGGTCTTCTAGTCCAGCCCTCTGGACTAGACAATGGTTCACTTAACAACGGTGGCAAGAAAGGTTGTAAAATGGGGCAAAACTCACTTAAGAACCGTCTCGCTTAGCAACCTACATTTTGGCCCAGATTGTGATGGCAAGTCAAGAGTTTCCTGCATTTCAGTTTTCTTGCAGACCATCCAGAATCTCTTCCTTTGTGAGATGGACAATCCTTTCACTTAGATGAAGAAAGAAAGAAAGTTTGTTTTGAGGGGGCGATTTTGGTGATTCAATGCAGCTTCTGGTTTCAGAGCTGAGTTTGCTCCAGTTGCTTTAAACACCGGCAGCTCTTTAAATTTCGAGTTTCTTGACCTCTTCAGCTTTGAACAACCTTCATGGCATCAGATCTCCCTACAGTCAGTTTTGCACCTAACCATTCCTTCTTTCTTACGGGGTTACACGGCACATCCAGGTGTCTGCTCTTTCTCCAGAGTTTTGAGCTGCCATTCACTTGCTGAACGTTTTCTGGATTGGACAAAAATAGTTTCATTACTGGAAGAGACTTCAGACACGAAATAAACGCTAATAAATCAAACAACAATATGAGATCGTCTTACGTTCAGGGTCCCAGCGTCTGTGGGAGATTTACCCTATGAATAATGTCCTTGGATATTTTGAATGGTATAGGTCAATGATGGCTAACCTTTATGCCATTGCGTGCCAAAAGCAGGTGGAGCACAGGTGGGGTCGTGCGCGTGTGTGCCCACACCCATAATTCAATGCGGTCTTCCGTGTGTGCTTCAAGGTGTTGGTTCTTACCTTTCAAGTGCTCCATGGCTTAGGACCTGGGTACCTACGAGACCACCTTCTGCAACCGATAACCTCCCACCAACCAGTACGCTGCCACAGGGTGGGCCTCCTCAGGGTGTCGTCAGTAAAACAATGTCGACTGGTGGTTCCCAGGGGGAGAGCCTTCTCTGTGGGGGCACCTGCCCTTTGGAACAGGATACCCCCAGGGATACGAATGATCCCAGATCTCCGTACTTTCTGTCGTGCCCTGAAGACCTTTCTGTTTAAGCCAGCCTGGCATAAATTTTCAAATTGTCTAAATTCTATGCTGAGGATCTTAACTGATGAGCCAAATTGGTTTAATTATTTTAAATTGTTTTATTTCACCTTATATGTATATTATTCTGACTGTTCCCTGCCCTGAGTCCTTCGGGAGAAGGGCGGTATAAAAATTAAATAAATCATCATCATCATCATCATGGGTATAGGTTCTCCTGCACTTGACCAGGGGGCTGGACTAGAAGACCTCCAAGGTCCCTTCCAGTCAATTGGAGGGCTGATTTACCACCAGCTTATCAGGTGCTTAGGAGCCGAGGGCTTGGCAGCACAAGGGAACAACAGCCAATCACCGGCCATCAACCCACCAATCAACCAATAGGAAGGCACCACATAAATACAAAGTGTAGAATATCCCAAAGCCCATATTCCGGTAGAGAGAAGTTCCCTGAAGATGGGCTCCAGCATGAGCTCAAAAGCTGAGAAGACTGACCCAGATCAGGCCTTGCAACATTATCCTGGGACTCCCAAAGCTGCTTTTTCCAGAGGGAACTGGACTTTCTGGTTTTCCTTTGAAGACATTTTGCTTCTCATCCAAGAAGCTTCTTCAGCTCTCTTGGATGAGAAGCGAAACGTCTTCAAAGAAAAACCGAGGAAGTCCAGTTGCCTCTTGAAAAGGCACCTTTGGGACAACCATGACTTGGATGGCTGAGGGTCTCCATAGACATTATCCTGGGACGCATAGATTTGCCTTCCTTCCATCAACATTAACCGTTCATTTCCTTCTCTTTGTCTTTCATTAGCACCGACAGAGAAGGAATTAGGGAGAAATTGAAGGAGGCTTCCTATTATGTCTCCTAAACTGATGTAGGAATTGTCCTAGGAGGCACTCCCAACATTCCCCTTCCGAGCAGTTTTTCTGAAATATAATTTGGTTTCCAAGTGGTCTCTTTTTCAGCAGATACAAGCACCCATCTGCCTTTTTCTGCTCTTCTAAAATCCTAGCATGGTCAGGAAGTCTTCAAGGCATGAGAGACCAACAACAAAGAAGTAGGGGAAGAGGTAGATTTAAAAAAAAGAAGGAAAGAAATCCTGGAAGGAGGCAAAGAAAAACCGATCATGCTGAGAAACTGACCGGGACATGTTCAGAAAGTCCAAACAAGGTATGCTGTTCCAGTCAGCTTAGAATTTTTTTTAAAAAGTGATGTTGAGTTACGCTTGACTCCTAGAATTGTCCCGGAGGTTTTCTTGGCAGTATTTTCAAACATGATTTCTCCTTGTTTTCTTGTCTTGTATGGGCTGAGGGGTTGGTGTAAATGTCCCAGCTGTCTGTTGGAAGGAAAATCCATCTGATTCACTTCCAATCCGGGAGAAAGACGCCGGAAATAAAATGGAGGCTGGAGGCTGATTGGAATGAAGGTCCATTTATTGATGAAGTAGAACCACAAACCGCAGGTGATTCTGGGACAGCTGAGCAAACCATCGAATGAGCGGATGGCTCTTTATAGGTTTCTGTGACTTTGAAGTCTGAACTGTTCTGGGGGTTGTAGATCTTAGGTGAGGGGCTGCTTGCTCTAATCCTACCATTCTGCTTTGGTTAGCTGTCAAATTTTGCCACAAGGAGTTTCGGAATAGCCTGTCTTGAATGGGCTTCTGCTGGCAGTAATTGCTTTGCTTATGAATGGAGCCATCTAGCTAGCTGACTTCCTCTTTCAATAAGCTCTTTCTCTCCTTAAGTGCTGTGGGCTATTAAGAAAGATTGGGGGGGCTGCTTTCTGCCTCTAAAAAGACGTTTCTCCTTTAGGGAAATATAACGTTCTGTTTGTTTTTTTAAAAATAATTCCCCAAAATATTTCATTCTTCTGGGGAGGAGCGGAGGGTTTTTCCCAGGAGTCTTTATCCTTAAGGCAGGACTAGATTTCAATTTTTCTGCTTCTAGTCCGGCAGCTTTAACTCTGAAATTATTTGGAGAACTGGTGGGGCTTCCAAGTACCATAAATCCGTTTGTGAATAAAATCACATGAGCCGAGTGAGGCTCAGCAATTCTTACCTTTTACCTAATAGCCAAAAATACCCTGATATGTTCCACAGTTAAATAGCGTTGAAGGATAAGAGCTTCTTCGGGGTATTTTTAGGGGGGGGGAAGCATATCTAGCATTTATTAAGGGGGCGGACAGGGGGTGGGTAAGGGGTGAGGGCTAACAACTGAAATACTGGAGAGAAATGTGAGGTAGCTAGCAAAAAAAAAACCCAGGTGCTATTTGGCTCTAACTGTTGGGCCTAGTAGCTAGAAACCAGGAGACGGGGGAGTTCTAGTCCCACTTTAGCCTGTAAACCAATTGGGTGAGTTTCGCCAATCACTAGAAGTCGCCGAGTTCTAATCCAGCCTTAGGAATTAAAGCGGGATTTGGGACCGATCATCAAGAGATTGGGAATTCTAGTCCCACCTTATGTAAGAAAGTCTGCTGGGTGATTTTAGGCCACTCCCCAGGAGCAGTGGTGGGTTCTAACCGGCTTTACTACGGGTTCTTTTCGTGTACGCGCTTCGTGCACGATCGCCGATCGCTCCGCGCAAGCGTGTTAGGAATCTGCTCAGCTGAGGTGCGGCAATCCACTCTGCCGCACCTATCAACTGGGCTAAAAAAGAAGAAATAAAAGGTAGGAATAACGCGGGGGCGGGCGGGAGGGCCCAGCTCCCAGACGTCATATCGTCACCGCTACCGGCTCGGCTGAACCGGGCCGAACCGGGAGGAACCCACCACTGACCAGGAGCCAATACTGCGAATTCTAGTCCTGCCTTAGGCATGAAAGCCAACTGGGTGACTTTCGCTAAACACTAGGAGACAGTGAGTTCTAGTTCGGCCTTAGGAATTAAAGTGGGTTTCCTAACTTTTGGCCCAATCTCCAGGCGTTTGTGACTTCTAGTACTGCCTTATGTAAGAAATTCTGCTGGGTGACTTTGGACCACTCACCAGGAGCTGGTGAATTCTAGTCCTGCCTTAGGCATGAAAGCCAACTGGGTGACTTTCGCTAAACACTAGGAGACAGTGTGTTCTAGTTTGGCCTTAGGAATTAAAGTGGGTTTCCTAACTTTTGGCCCAATCTCCAGGCGTTTGTGACTTCTAGTACTGCCTTATGTAAGAAATTCTGCTGGGTGACTTTGGGCCACTCACCAGGAGCTGGTGAATTCTAGTCCTGCCTTTGGCATGAAAGCCACCCAGTCTCTTTGACCAGTCCGTCTCTCTTAGTCCAACCCACCTCACAAGGTTGTTGTTGTAGAGAAAAGGAATATTAGGTATGTTTGCCACTTAAAAATTACCTATAAAGTATGTAATATAGGTTAGTCCTCGACTTGCAACCACAATTGAGCCCAACATTTCTGTCCTTAAGTGAGCCATTAAGTGAATTTTGTCCCCCTTTACAGTAATTCTGGCCAGAGTTAAGAAATCCCTGAAGTTGTTAAGTGAATCTGAATTCCCCATTGACTTTGCTCATCAGAAGGTCGCCAAAAGGGATTGCATGACTCCGGGGCACAGCGACCGTCGCATCCAAATTTTTATCACGTGACCAAAGGGATGCTGCGAAGGTCGTAACTGTGGAAAACGGTCCTAAGTCACTTTATTCAGTGTCGTTGTCACTTTGAATGGTCGCTAAATGAACTGTTGTATGTCGAGGACTGCTTTTAAAAGTGGGATAACTAATCTAATCAATGAATAACGTTCAGCGGATTGGAAAATCTGCCAAAAATATAGCTCGTTGTTTTTTCGACCTCGGCCCCTTTAAGAGGGGTGGACTTCAACTCCCAGAATTCCCCAGCCAGCGCATGCTGGCTGGGGAATTCTGGGAGTTGAAGTCCACCCCTCTTAAAGGGGCCGAGGTCGAAAAAACCCCACTGATTTAGATTAACAGCCAATGATGCTCGATTCCACGCGGGATAAACCTTCGTATCTCAGTTTGCCTGGTTGTAAAAGTTAATGTTTCATGGGCACAGATGGAGCGGAGCTGCGTGTGACCCTTGTAGTGTGATGAAAAGGACGACAAGCGAAGCGACCTTTGCGATGCTGATTGACGAAGCAAGGATAAAATGCAGGCCGGAGCTAAAACAGGAGATTATTATCAGGCGATGTTTTGCAGGTAAGCTCGGACTTCCTGTCTGAAAAGGCAAAAGAGGAGGTTGTTCTCGACTTATGACCATAATGGACACTACGGTTGTATGTTGTGAGGGCCCTAGAGAAGCTCCTAGAGGAGCTTGGGGTTTTTTTTTGAATGTTTTTTTTTTGCGGTGGTCGGTAAGCGAACATGGTCAGTAAGCGAAGCAATGGTTTGTGACAGGCCTGTTTGGCAGAAAACTGAAAATAAACGCTGGCTTTGGGAACGTGCGTCAAAATATAAGGTCAGGTGACGACGGAATGCGGCAAACGGTTGTAAAACCGAAATATGTGGTAAGGGGGTCCGTCGTAACTTTTGAACGGTCGCTAAACGAGGACAAGCTGTATGAGGAGAGATGGAGTGTGAGACTGAGTGTGACGACTACCTGGATGAAGACAGTCACTGATGGATGGATATTTTTGTACAGGGGCTTTTGGTTCTTTCCTCTGAAATCCAGAACCTTCCAGATGGGTTGAGAACATCCAGGGGAATCTTTTAATGCAAGGATTCTCAGCTTCGGTCGCTTGACCTGTCAGTGGAACAGCTTGCCTCCAGAAGTTGTGGATGCTCCATCATGGGAGGTTTCTAAAAAGAGACTGGGCAGCCATTTAAATAACAGAGCAACAGAGTTGGAAGGGACCTTGGAGGTCTTCTAGTCCATCCCGCTGCTCAGACAGGAAACACTATACTATCCCACACAAATGGTTATCCAACATCTTCTTAAAAACCTCCAGTGATGGAGCACCCACACCTTCTGGTGGCAAGTTGTTCCACGGGTTAACTGTTTCCATTGTTAGGAATTTCGTCCTTAATTTTAGGCTGCTTTTCTCCTTGATGAGTCTATCTGTCTATTGCTTTTTGTCTTGCTTTTAGGTTCTTTGGAGAATAAGTTGACCCCCTCTTCTTTGTGGCAGCCCCCAAAATATTAGAACACTGCTATCAGGTCCCCCCTAGTCCTTCTTTTCATCAGACTAGACATACCCAGTTCCTGCAACTGTTCTTCGTATGTTTTAGCCTCCAGTCCCCTCATCCTCTTTGTTGCTCTTCTCTGTACTCTTTCCAGAGTCTCTACATCTTTTTTACACCGTGGTGACCAAAACTGGATGCAGGCCTTTAATGTCTGAAATGGTATAGAGTTTCCTGCTTAAGCAGGGGGCTGGACTAGAAGACCTCCGAGGTCCCTTCCCGCTCTGTTATTCTTGAAAGTGAGAACAATTAACCAGTGGGACAGCTTTCCTCCAGAAGTTGTGGGAATGCTCCAACACTGGAGGCTTTTAAGAAGAGATTAGATAACCGTTTGTCCGAAGTGGTGTAGGGTTTCCTGCCTGAGCAGGGGGTTGGACTAGAAGACCTCCGAGGCCCCTTCCCGCTCCGTTATTCTGCTATTCTAGTTAATACAATAACCTGCTTAGGTCCATAGGGTGAATCCAGCTAGTATCAATCACTTGGGGTAATTGTGAAGGTAGAAATGGAGAGAGGTGGGGGTGGGGGGGGAGATTAAAAAAAATTATATGTATATGAAATCTTATTCTGTTCACCGCCCTGAGTCCTTCGGGAGAAGGGTGGTATAGAAATTCAATAAATACTAATAATAATAATAGAGGCAAACTGTGAGATTCATATTTATGACCTTTGAGCCACGTGGCTCATGGAACCGGTCCAGGTAGAACTGGCTGCCCTTTTGGTTCTTTTGACCGATGGCCGTGACGTCTGGCTCTCAGTACTACTATCCTCGTTCAGCCTCAGAGTTCATCAGGAATGCTTTTCTGGTGGCAATTTTTGTGCAATGTGCTTTTTTCCCCTCTCCTAACCAGGACCCACATCCCTTCTCGTGAACGCTGGGGTCCAGATCTGTGGGTCGGCCTCTTCCAGCTCCTCCTCTTAAAAATATCGAAAACTCCCCATATTGACCGGTGCGGAGAATATACGGGAAGCTGAAATGAAGGATGAATGTATCTTTAAAAAATATATATTTAAAATGTGGAATGTAGAATCCTAGGACTGGAAGGGAGTTCGGAGGTCTTCTAGTTGAACCCCCTGCTTGAGGAGGAAACCCTACACCATCCTGGTCTATGATTATCCAGTCTCTTCTTAAAAACTTCCAGTGACCCATAACTTCTGGAGGCAAGCCATTCCATTCATGAATTAACAGAATAACAGAGTTGGAAGGGACCTTGGAGGTCTTCTAGTCCAACCCGCCCACTCAAGACTTTATACAACACATGGCTGTCCAGTCTATTTCTGAAACCCTCCAGCGAGGGAGCACCCACAACTTCTGGATGCAAGCTGTTCCACTGGTTAATTGTTCTCACTGTTAGGAAGTTTCTCCTTAACTCTAGGTTGTTTCCATCTGTTGCTTCTTGTCCTGTTGCCTTCCTGGTGCTTTGGAGAATAGGTTGACCCCCCTCCTCTTTGTGACATCCTTTCAAGTATTGGAAGACTCATGTCATCCCCTAGTCTTTCTCTTCCTTAGACTAGACGTACCTAGTTCCCTCAACTGTTCATCATGGGGTTTAGCCTTCAGGTCTTCTGCTGACGATCCTTGTTTACAGTTCCACTTGAATGGAGTTCTGTTCTTATTTCTGGCTTACAAGTGGGATAATTTTGCAAATTGTTATGTTATTATACCGGTCTAACTCACCCTAAAATTACAGTGTGTTCCACCCTTTCAAGATGAAAGGATGAAGGTCGTGTCCCAGCGTTGAGTAACTCTCCCAGTTACTCCTCTCTGATGGTCCTTTGTTATATTTTCACGTGTCCAACTTCCTCGTGAAATATATATATATAATTATGCCATTTATTGCCCCCCTTCTGACATGAGTTTTGACATCATTTTCCTGGAACCAAGATCACAAATTCTCTGGGCTACAATTAGAGTTCAATACGATCTCTTGATCTTATCACGTCTATAGTTAGCCCTGTGAATAGATGCCAGATGGATATTTCCATTCGTCGCTCTGAGATAAGCAGCGGGGACGAACGTTACCAAATTTACTTTCCATCCTTCGCTACCCCTGGCAAATCTCAGGTTTCGTTTTGGATTCTGCGAGAATTCCTGGAGGCCGGCCTGCTTTTTCTCACAATGGATTTGAGGTCACAATGCTGTAAGGTTGGCGTCGTGGTGGCCCAGGAGATGGTGACAAGAGTGAGGTGGGGTGATGGAAAGGGCTATGTAAGTACGGCGGATGCTCAATTAACCGGTTAGACTTTAACCAGATGGTAGGCACTATCTGGAGGAGATGAAAGAACAGTCTGAAGCCACTGCAAACTCCGGCCTCTTTAGAATGACGTCTTCCTTTCCAACAGAAGTCGTATCTGGAGGCCGGTGAGCGAGATGTTGGAAAAATTAGTCAACGTGGTGACGATCCGGAATGAAACGGTCCGTCAGGGTCTGGCAGAATTTCTGGGGACCTTCCTCCTGATGGTGAGAGAAGACCTGGGGTGTGTGGAGGAGAAGGAGAAGAAGGTGTTAGGACAATGTTTCTCAAACTCACCCAACGCAAGTCCACCCATCTTCATGTTAGTTTGAGTTTGAGAAAAAAACTCAAGTTAGAAGATGGTATGGGTGGGTGGGTGGGTGGGAGGGATGAAAATGTTGCAAGCATGCCTTTTCCTGGCTTATAGAATTTTTGGTGGGAAAAAAAAGGGAATAAAATGAAATTTTGATTAGTGGGTTTGAAGATTAGAAAGTATAGTTTAAGAAGGAAGTTGTGATGTAACTTTAGAGAGAGTAGGAAAAATACTCTAGAAATGTACCCATAACCACTCTCAAGAAGATAGCTATTTTTTATCCTTTCTTTCTTTCTTTCTTTTTCTTTCTTTCTTCTTTCTTTCTTTCTTTCTTTCTTTCTTTCTTTCTCTTCCTTCCTTCCTTCCTTCCTTCCTTCCTTCCTTCCTTCCTTTTCTTTCTCTCTCTTTCCTTCCTTCCTTTTCTGTCTCTTTCTCTCTCTTTTATTATTTCCTTTCTCCACTCTTTCCTTCCTCCCTTCTCTTTCCCCCCTCGCTCCCTCCCTTCTTCCCTTTCTCCTTCCCTCCCTTATCTGTCTGTCTGTCTGTCTGTCTGTCTGTCTGTCTGTCTGTCTCTCTGTCCGTCCGTCCATCCATCCATCCATCCATCCATCCATCCATCCATCCATCCATCCATCCATCCACCCATCCATGCATCTATCTATCTATCTATCTATCTATCTATCTATCTATCTATCTATCTATCTATCTATCTATCTATCTATCTATCTATCTATCATCTATCTATCTATCTATCATCTATCTATCTATCTATCTATCTATCTATCTATCTATCTATCTATCTATCTATCCATCTTCCTCCCTCCCTTCCTCCCTCCGTCCCTCCCACTCTCTTCCTTTTCTATTTATTTTCTTTTACTATTTTTTCTTTGTTTTCTTTATTTTCTGTTTTTTATTTTGTTTAAGAAATTGTCAGGAAAAATAGTCAGGAAAAAAAAAACCAGCAACCCCCCCCCCAAAAAACAAAACCCAGTCCGTCTCCAGCAACCTCTGACCAGGAGATCTTCCACCACCTTGGAGTCCTGCCTGCTTGGACTCAGACGTGCAAAAGGCAAACCCGGAAAAAATGCCGTATTTTTGGAGTCCTCCAAACTAAATGCCAGTGAAGGACTCTATCCCCAGCCACACAGGTGAGAGAACGATTATTATGCCACAACAAAAGCGAAATGTTCCTGATGAACAGACTTTGCGGGATGAAAAGGTCAACCAATGCAAGTAGGTTGAGAGAATTAGACCGATTTTTTCCCCCCCATCGTGGTCATTTTAGACTGAATTAGATTGTTGGTCAATTTATTTCTCTCTCTCCAAATGGCCACAGCCTTCTAGGTTCCAAGCAGAAATCAGGGAATTTAGGATTTTCGGCATGCAAAACATGTCCTAACCAGTAGTGGGACTCAGCCGGTTCAGCCCAACCAGTAGTTAAATTGCTGACTGGCCCCTCCCCTCCCCTTCCAGGAGTCCCCATGCGCCCCATTTTCGCTCCCAGATAAGTGCAGGGAGGCCTCCTAGACCCAAAATGGGGTGCGGGGGACAGCGTGTCTCCCTCCCGCAATGGCCCATTTTTGTTCCCTGGGGGTTGCAGGAGGTTGAGCGCTGCCTGTCACACCCCCTGGCCACGCCCACCATGGCCACGCCTACCCAGCCGGTCATTAGGGCAGAGAACCAGTTGTGAAATTATTTGAATCCCATCACTGGTCCTAACCAGTAGTGGGTTTCAAATTTTTTTACCACCGGTTCTGTGGGTGTGGCTTGGTGGGTGTGGCTTGGTGGGCGTGGCAGGGGAAGGATACTGTAAAATCTCCATTCCCACCCCACTCCGGGGGAAAGATACTGCAAAATCCCCATTTCCTCCCTATCAGCTGGGACTTGGGAGGTAGAGAAGAGCTGGGGGTGGGGCCAGTCAGAATTTTTACTATCGGTTCTGTGGGTGTGGCTTGGGCGTGGCATGGCTTAGTGGGTGTGGCAGGGGAAGGATACTGTAAAATCTCCATTCCCACCCCACTCCGGGGGAAGGATACTGTAAAATCTCCATTCCCATCCCACTCTGGGGGAAGGATACTGCAAAATCCCCATTTCCTCCCGAACAGCTGGGACTTGGGAGGTAGAGAATAGATGGGGGCGGGGCCAGCAGAATTTTTACTACCGGTTCTCCGAACTACTCAAAATTTCCGCTACTGGTTCTCCAGAACTGGTCAAAACCTGCTGAAACCCACCTCTGGACCTAACCCTCACTTTTGAATTCTCTCTAGGACATTTTCCAGAGAATATCAGAGAATGGACAACATTGTTCCTTCCTCTTTGTAAATAATGTCTGTTATCCTGTTTTTCTAGCCTTTCTGTCTTAATAATAATTGTTCATAATAATAATAATAATAATTGTATGCTGCCTTTCTCCGAAGACTCAAGGCGGCTTACAATGCATTTAAAAACCATATATAAAAACATTAAAAATTAAAACATTAAAAACAATTAAAACCCATTCACACCATTCATGGACGGATCTCGCCAGATCGCAACAGCGAGATCAACGGCCCCAGGCCTGCCAGTCTTCCTGGATTAGTTTCTGTACAGGCTAAAAATTGTCCCCTATCTCAGGGATCTCCAAACTTGGCCACGTTAAGACTTCGTGGACTTCAACTCCCAGAATTCCCCAGCCAGCATGGGCATTGGAGTCCAAGAGTCTTACAGTTGCCAGCTTTGGAGGGTTCATGGGAGACCTTCTCTTTTCTTCGGACAGACCTTTGGCCTTGGCTCCGTAGCCCAAGTTGTGTTGGGGAAGCACAATTTTGGAGAGTACTTGAGCATCAATCTTGGATTCGGGTTTGGTGTTATGATGGGAGTCCATGCTTCTGGTGGAATCTCAGGTGAGTCTAGCAGGGGAGGGAGGGGCTGGATTACTAAACTAGGTAACATCGAGCATCTAGACTAGCACGGATGATGTTATCTAGATCGGTAGTGAAATGTTTGCAAGAAAACAGCCAAGCTCAGAGAGCACCAAGGAGCCCACAATCATCATCATCATCATCTTCTTCTTCTTCTTCTTCTTCTTCTTCTTCTTCTTCTTCTTCTTCTTCTTCTTCTTCTTCTTCTTCTTCTTCTTCTTCTTCTTCTTCTTCTATTTTCCTTCTCCTTCTTCTTTTTTCTCCTGCCTCCTCCTTCTCTCCATAAATTCCTCTCTTCTAGTACTCATTATGCTACCTAGTTGGGTCATGAAACATCTGCATGAAAACTACCCAGTTCATGGAGCATCAGAATCCATGGTCCTTCTCCTCCTCCCCTCCATTCCACAATCCCCACTCCTTTCTAGCCCTGCTGATGTTACCTAGTTGGGTATTGAAACATCCATAAGAAAACCAAGCTCAGAGAGCATCAGACCTCCTCCTCCTCCATGCCACAATTCCCACTTCCTAGCACTGATGACGTTACCTAGTTGGATCATAAAACATCTGCATGAAAACCACCCAGCTCAGAGACCACCAAGGACCCCTCGATTTTACCCCGAACTACAAATATTCTCTTCTCTAGTGTCCTTCAGCAGGGACGTGGTGGCTCAGTGGCTAAGACGCTGAGCTTGTCGATCGAAAGGTCGGCAGTTCAGCGGTTCGAATACCTAGTGCCACATAACGGGGTGAGCTCCCATTACTTGTCCCAGCTTCTGCCAACCTAGCAGTTCAAAAGCACGTAAAAAATGCAAGTAGAAAAATAGGGACCACCTTTGGTGGGAAGGTAACAGCGTTCCGTGCGCCTTTGGCGTTGAGTCATGCCGGCCACATGACCACGGAGACGTCTTCAGACAGCGCTCGCTCTTCGGCTTTGAAACAGAGTTGAGCACCGCCCCCTAGAGTCAGGAACGACTAGCACATATGTACGAGGGGAATCTTTACCAATACATATACATACATACATATCTATATCTATATCTATATCTATATCTATATCTATATCTATCTATCTATCTCTATCTCTATCTCTATCTATCTATCTATCTATCTATCTATCTATCTATCTATCTATAAAGAATTTATTATAAATACAGATATATTAAGATTAGGAGATGGAAGACTAGGACTAGGTATATTTAAAAGTATTATTATGATTAACAGGATGGAAAAAATATATTGGAAAATATAGCCTATAAGGACTACAAATCCAGGGGATTTACAGATATAAATTTGGGACTGATTACATCTTACCGATAATTGGTTTTAATGGAGTTTATAGAAAGTTGATATTGAAAATGTGGTGGAACCCTGAGTGACATCTATAATATCAAAATGTTAGGAGTTAATAAGTATATAAAAGAATATATTGCAATTAAAATGAGCACATTAAGGTTAGAAGTTGGAAGAAATTTTTTTTTGCATATATGTAATTGTATTATTACTGTGAACACGGTGTGAAAAATAGGTTACCCCAGTCATTACACTGTCCACAAAAATTGTCGTTTGTTAAAGAAAAACTGCAAAAGAAACTACTTGGCTGCCAGTCCTCTTCCTGCAACCATCCTAACAGTTCTTTTCCTGTTATCTTTGTCGCCCCAAGGAGCTCATATGAACGCGTCCATCACTTTCGCCAATTGCGTGGTTGGAAATTTACCCTGGCGCAAACTCCCGGCGTATGTGATTGGCCAGTTCTTCGGATCGTTTGCCGCGGCGGCTATTATTTTTGTTTTGTATTATGGTAGGTATGAATCCTCTTTGGCTTGCAGGAGGGAGAGGGGAAAAAAAAAATACAGGTAGTCCTCGACTTACGACCACAATTGAGCCCAACATTTTGGTTGCTAAGTGAGACCTTCGTAATTATGAGTCAGTTTTGAAGAGCCTGAATTTTGATCTGCAATGAATTCTGAAGGCTGCAATGAAAGAAACAAAAATGTTAAAAAGTTATGATATTTATTGTCGTTACTTCCCAAGAACATCTAAATGATAATAAAGTAACCAAAATAGCTTTACAATCCCCAAGGCATGTCACAACTTTGGAGCACCCTCTCATGTTTGGAAATTGAAAATTGAAAAATTTGACATGCCCTATCGCTGTGATGGTGAACCTATTGCCCGCGTGCCACCTGTGGCACGCGTAGCTGTATCGTTGGGCACGCAAGCTCAGCTCCAGCGCGCATGTGCATGCCAGCCAGCTGATTTTCGGGCCTTCTGGGCCCACCAGAAGTAGGAAAACAGGCTGTTTCCTGCCTCTGGAGGGCCTCGGGGGATGGTGGCGAAGGCCTGTTTTTTGCTGTCCCCAGGCTCCAGAGCCTTTCTAGGAGTCTGGGGAGGGCAAAAATGGCCTTCCCCACCCCCCCCGGAGGGCCTCCGTACACCCTCTGGAGGCCCTCCGGAGGCTGGAAACGGCCTGTTTGCCAACTTCCGGTTGGACCAAAAGTCAGCAAACAGGCTGTTTCTGGCTTCCGGAGGGCCTCCGGAGTGTGTGGGGGTGGAGAAGGCCATTTTTGCCCTCCCCAAGCTCCTAGAAAGGCTCTGGAGCCTGGGGACAGCAAAAAACAAGTCTTTTGGTCCCAGCGGAAGTTGGCAAATGGGCCATTTCCAGGCTCCAGAGGGCCTCCATGGGGATGGAGAAAGCTGATTTTGCCCTCCCCAGACTCCTAGAAAGGCTCTGGAGCCTGGTGAGAGAGAAATACGGGCCTACCGGGCCATTGCGTGCCAGGAGCGGGGGGGTGGGGTGTCACACACGCATGCGTAGGGGTGGGGTGCATAGAATTATGGGTGTGGGCACACACACTCATGATACACTCCCCCCCCACTCCTAGCACGTGATGGTAAAAAGGTTAGCCATCACTGCCCTATATTTATTTATTTATTTATTTATTTATTTATTTATTTATTTATTTATTTATTTATTTATTTATTTATTCATTCATTCATTCATTCATTCATTCATTCATTCATTCATTCAATTTATATACCGCCCTTCTCCTAGTGGACTCAGGGTGGTGCACAGCCAAAACTAAAATACATAACAATACAAAATTTAAAATTAATTAAAAGAATTATATACTTTGGCCCGAATTAAAACAGTGCAAATTAAAACCCATTAACAAATTAAAACTAAACAATTAATAACCATTAAAAACTAAAAAAGGGTGTGCAATGGTCTTAAGTGTAAAAACGGACATAAGTCTCTTTTTTCAGTGCCGTTGGAATTTGATCGGTAACTAAATGAACTGATGTAAGCCGAGGACTATCTGTATCTCTCTTTATCTCAGGTGTGTCCAAGCTTGGGCAACTTTTAAGACTTGTGGACTTCAACTCCCAGAATGCCCCAGCCAGCCATGCTTGAAATTGAAGTCCACAAGTCTTAAAGTTGCCCAAGGTAGACACTGCTACCTACAAACCTACTAAGCTACTAAAATGACATTTTCCACATTTCTGAAATAACCTGACACCCACTGGGTTTCCTCTGTGCCAAACTGCCAATCTTCTATTTATATTTTTCTGGCATGACTACTGAGACCATTTCTACTGGTTCTGAAGCAGGAAATATATAAAAAAAACGGAAAGGCTAGGCATGAAAGAAAAATAAAAGGGGAATTCTCCTTAGGGACCATCTCATCGCCTTCCTTAACAAGCCCCCAAATAGGAAGCAGGGCCTGGTTAAGATGGTTTAGATTTGGGTGGGTGGGGGAAGTCAGTATGGATCTGAGACCACCAGGAGATCACGAGGCTGCAGGTTAGAGTGGGGAGTCATGAAATCATTACTGGTGGAGGTGATGGCAGGAATTAGCCCCCACCCCAGAACTGGGCCTGCCTTGAGAATACAGGTAGTCCTCGACCTGCGACCACAATTGATCCCAAAATTTCAGTTGCTAAGCGAGACAGTGGTTAAGTGAGTTTGACCCTAACCCTAATCTTTCTTGCCACGGTTGTTAAGTGAATCCCTGCACTTATTCAATGTTAAATCAGTAACATTGTCGTTAAGTGAATTGGCTTTGCTGGTCAGAAGGTCGCCAAAAGGAGATCATGTGACCCCAGGACACTGCAAACGTCATAAATACGAGTCAGTTGCCAAGCGTCTGAATTTGGATCACATGATCGTGAGGATGCTGCAACGGCCATAAGTGTGAAAAACAGTCGTTATGTCACTAATCCAGTGCTGTTGCAACCTCGAACGGCCACTAAACAAATGTTTGGAAGTCGAGGACTGCCTGTACAGGTAGTCCTCGACGTACAACCACAATTGAGCCCAACCTTTCTGTTGTTAAGCGAGATATTTGTTCAGTGAGTTTTGCCCCATTTTACGACCTTACTTGCCACCGCTGTTAAGTGAATCACTTGCAGTTGATAAGTTAGTAGCCAGGGTTGTGAAGTGAATCCGGCTTCCCCGTTGACTTGGCTTGCGAGAAGGTCGCAAAAGGGGATCACCTGACCGTCGGACACAGTAACCGTCGTAAATACGGACCATTTGCCAAGCGTCTGCAATTTGGATCACGCGATCATGGAGAAAGGTGCACAGGTCATAACTGTGAAAAACGGCCCTAAGTCACATTTTCCAGTGCGCCGTTGTAACTTTGAACGGTCAGTAAGCGGACTGTTGTAAGTTGAGGACTACCCATAATTCCTCCCCCTCCCCCAACCTCCCTTTTGTGTTTTTTGTATGTTTGCTCTCCACAAACTGGCTTTCTTCTTCCCTTTTTAGAAGCGCTACAGAATTACACAGGAGGCAACCTAACCGTGACGGGATCGACGGCCACCGCGGGGATTTTCGCCACCTATCCTGCCCCTTACGTGTCTCTGGGGTACGGCTTTCTCCAGGAGGTTGGTGTCCTGGAACGGATGGCTAGAAGCGAGGGCCAGTGGGCTCCAGTCCAAGAGTGTTAACTTAATTCTGATTGTCCACAGCTTTGATGCCCATCTTCCTCTTCTGCAGGTTATTGCAAGTAGCATGCTTATGATCGGTGTCCTCGCCATCCACGATAGGAAGAATGCCGGGGCCTTACCGGGCACCAATGCCTTCATCACTGGGTTGCTGGTCGTACTCATTGGCATGTCTATGGGGATGAACACGGGCTATGCCATCAACCCTTCCAGGGATCTGCCCCCCCGGATTTTCACGGCCCTTGCAGGATGGGGCTTGGAGGTGTTTCGGTGAGTTGGTGGCACTGATTTAGTTCACCAATGAGGACTATCATACTGACTTTAAGGTTGACACCATGTGTGGACTTCAACTCCCAGAATTCCCCCGTTAGCCATGCTGGTTGTGGAATTCTGGGAGCTGAAGTCCACATATCTTCAAATGGCTAAGGTTGACATACGTGTGTGGGCTTCAAGGTTGAGATACATGTCAACTCCCAGAATTCCCATTAGCTATGCTGCCTGGGGAATTCTGGGAGTTGAAGTCCACACATCAAATGGCCACAGTTGAGACACATGTGGACTTCAACTCCCAGAATCCCCCAGTTAGCCATGTTGGTTGTGGAATTCTGGGAGTTGAAGTCCACATATCTTCAAATGGCTAAGGTTGACACACGTGTGTGGGCTTCAAGGTTGAGATGTGTGGACTTGAACTCCCAGAATTCCCTAGTTAGCCATGCTGGTCGAGTTGAAATTTATATATCTTCAAGTGGCCAAGATCGAGACGGGTGGACTTCAAGGTTGAGATACATGTATGGACTTCAACTCCCAGAATTCCCATTAGCCATGCTGGCCGGGGAATTCTGGGAGTTGAAGTCCACGCATCTTCAAGTGGCTAAGATTGAGACACATGCACAGACTTCAAAGTTGAGATATGTGTGGACTTCAACTCCCAGAATTCTCCAGCTAGCCATGTTGGCTTGGGAATTCTGGGAGTTGAAGTCCACCCAAGGGGTCAAGGTTGAGATATGCTGGTTTAGGGTCTACTGCTAATCTGGACTTCCTTTTTCTTTCAGAGCAGGCAACTGCTGGTGGTGGGTGCCATTGTTGGCCCCAACGCTAGGATGCCTCATTGGGATATTCATCTACAACATCCTGATCGACTTCCACAATCGCTCCCCGTCAGATCCAGAACCTTCGAAGCAAGACCCAGAGGCCGAGATGACGTCTCCCATGTGACTGCTGCTTTGAAAGGATGATGGTTTTTGGGACACCTGAACATGCTTTCCATCCTGGTCCTCAAGGAAGGGAATACATGACATCCTTTGGGGAAGACAGGGAGGAGAAAGATGGAGTCGATCAACTCCTATGGGGGCTGCACTGGGGAGTGGCCATCTTGTTCAACGTGGAGACATCTACCCACCTAGGAGACCTGCAGACCAGCTTTGATCATTGATGGAAATTGGACACTAGATAAAAGACTTGGAAAAAAATAAATAAATCTAGCTGCTAAGATTAGTGGTGGAGACATGAATGGGAGTCCCTGTCCCAAGGAGAATCCATCCCTGTTCATTTCTGGTCAGAAACCAGCTGAGATCCTCCTAAATGCATCAACGTTTCTTTGGAACCCATGTTGCTGTGGGCCAGAAGGGTGAGACAATCCAGCTGAGGTCAACACCACAACTACCCCCTGCCCCAGAGGCTTTCCTCTACTCCTGGGACCATCTTCCCCGGCATGCTGCAACCTCTGTAAACTTCTCACTCTGTAGGGTGGGACCAACCGGCTGGGGTATTCACAGAGTTGCAGCTGAGCCGTTTTTGAGGGCGCCAGGTTGGGGAATGATGCCCTGCAAATTCAGCAGGGCTGTAATTGGAAGGGAGGGAGGGAGGAAGGATGGGGAGAATGGAAGGAAGGAGGGAAAGGGAGGAAGGAGAAAGGGGAAGGATGGAAGGAAGGAAAGGGAGGAAGAAAGGAAGGAAGTAGGAAGGGAGAGAAAAAGGGAAAAAGAAGAAAGTTGAGTGAGAAAGAGAAGGTGGGAGGGAGGGATGGAGGAAGGAAAGAAAAGAAAAGAAAAGAAAAGAAAAGAAAAGAAAAGAAAGAAAGAAAGAAAGAAAGAAAGAAAGAAAGAAAGGAGATAGGGAGGCTGGAAGGAAGGAAGGGGGAGGTAGGAATAGGAGGAGGTAGGAAGAAAGGAAGAAAAGAAGCAAAAAAGGAAGGAAGGAGGGAGGGAGAAATGAAGGAAGGAGAGAAAGAGGGTGGGATGGAGGGAGGAAGGAAGGAAAGAAAGGGAGGATGGAAGGAATATGGAAGAATGGAAGAGAAAAAATGTGAGAGAATGTGGGAAGGAAAAAAAGAACACTCTTTTATAATCCTAAACCTCCTTGGAAAGGGGACCTGTCATATCTAGAGATAGAAAAGATGTTAAAGATTTTGGGAGGACGCCATAAAATACAGAAAATCGGTTTTGTACCTTTTAGACTTTGCTAGTCCAGCTTTCCTACACCACAACTGTTTGGGGGAAAGCGCGCCGTAAAATAGAGAAAATCGGTTTTGTGTGTGTGCATAAATAAGAATAAAGTACAGACATGGACTTCAGATTGCCCGTCCAAATTTGCAAGTACAGAGTCCTCGACTTACGACCGCAACTGAGCCCCCAAATTTATATAGTTGCTAATTGAGAAATTGGTTTAGTGGATTCCACCCCATTTTATGACCTTTCTTGCCACAGTGGTTAAGTGAATCCTTGCAGTTGTTAAGTAAGCACAAGTAGTCCTTGACTTGCAACAGTTTGCTTAGTGACGGTTTGAAGTTACAGTGGCGCTGAAAAAAGTGACTTAGGAGTGCTTTTCACACTTATGACCGTTGCAGCATCGCTGTGCTCACGTGATGACAATTCAGATGCTTGGCAACTGACCCGCATTTATGACGGTGGCAGTGTCCCAGGGTCACGTGATCCCCTTTTGCAACCTTCTGACAGGCAAAGTCCATGAGGAAGCCGGATTCGCTTAACGACCAAAGTGATTCACTAAACAACTGTGATGGGGAAGGTCGTAAAATGGAGCAAAATCCACTTCGCCAATTTCTCACTTAGCCACATAAATCTCGGACTCAACTGTAGCCGAGGACTCCCCGTAACACGGTTGTTAAGTGAATCTGGCATCCCCCTTGACTTTGCTTAGCAAAACGGGATGACATCACCCCCGGAACGCTGCACCCGTCATAACTGCGAGTCAGTTGCCAAGTGCCTGAATTTTAATCACACGATCCTGGGGATGCCGTGTCGGTTGTAAGCACGAAAAACGATCATGCCCCTTTTTTTCAGTGCCGTACCAGTGACCGACGGTCTTTAAGCGTGGTAAAAGAATCGCGAGTCCCTTTTCCTCAGGGCCGTCATAACTTTGAATGGCCGCTAAGCAAACTGTTGCAAGCCGAGGACGACCCAGTGCTAACTTTAACGGCTGCAGGAATTCACTTAACAACCGTGGTGAGGAAAGTTCGTAAAACGGGACAAAAAGCCCCCACTTCGCCAAAATTTCTCTGCGGCGAACGTTGGTTAGCCTCGCGATGGGGGCTGGAACAAATCCGTGCAAAATAGGGGAACGAGCGCATTAAACAGCCCCCCACCCTTTGTTGAGTTGCAGGCATGAGCCCCCCCCTCAAAAAAAAAATCAGCCAGGGATTCAAGTTTCCGTCAATAAATAATTCAGCAATAAATATGAAGTCCTGCAAAAGCCGAAAGGAGCCATTTGGAGCTGGAAGGGGGGGGGGGGGGGGGGGGGGGGGGAATTGGGGGTCCAGGGGGGGAGCTCAAGGCTACGTTTCTCGTCGTCTTGACAAGCTCCCGCCTTGCGAAGGGGCCCGGGGCGACCCTCCCGCCGCCTGATTCTTCTGGGAGGCGGCCACTTGGGACGGGGGCCTCTTCTTCACCAGGGAGGCCTTGGTTTTGCTGCGGAAAACCTTATTGGGGTCCAGCTTGTTGACGAAGGAAGCGTCGGCCGCTTCCCACAGCTGCTCCGTGTTGACCGTGATGGGTTTGTACATGTTGAACCATTGCTGGAAGAGGAGGGAGAGGGAAGAGCGAGTCAGGCCAAGGGTCTGGGGAAGGGGGGGGCGTGGGGAAGGGACCAGGGGTGAAATGCTCCCGGTTCGGACCAGATCGCCCGATCCGGTAGCGATGGTGGCGGGTGGTTCGGAGAACCGGTAGCAAAAATCCCTGCCCCCCCCCCCCCATGCCCAACCGAGCCACACGATCATCAGAGGCTTTTTTTCTTTCTTTTAAAAGCATTTTTTCTACAACCTCTTCGGCCAAAAAAAAAAATGCTTTTAAAAGTAAAAAAAAAGAAAAAAAAGCCTCTGATGATCGTGCGGCTCAGCTGGGATCGTCAGAGGCTTTTCAAAGCATTTTTTTCTGCAACCTCTTCAGCCAAAGAGGTTGTAGGAAAAAAAAAATGCCTTTAAAAGCCTCTGGCGATCCCAGCTGAGTTGCCTGATCGTTAGAGGCTTTTAAAAGCATTTTTTCTACGTCTTCAGCCAAAGAGGTTGTAGGGAAAAAAAAAAGCCTTTAAAAACCTCTGGTGATCCCAGCTGAGTTGCCTGATCGTCAGAGGCTTTTCAAAGCATTTTTTTCTACAACCTCTTAAGGTTGTAGAAAAAATGCTTTTAAAAGTTAGAAAAAAGAGTTAGCCACGCCCACCAGTCACTTTACCCCCACCCATACCCCCCCAAGCCACGCCCACAGAACCGGTAGTAACAAATTTTACATTTCACCACTGGAAGGGACCCAGGGGAATCCCAGCTAACTTGTCTCTGAGCTTGGGTGTTTTTCCTGCAGATGTTTCATGACCCAACTAGGTAACATTATCAAGTGCTAGAAGGGAATTGTATTTGTGGAGAAGTGCAGGAGGAGGAGGAGGACTGTGGGATCCTTGGTGCTCTCTGAGCTTGGGTGTTTTTCCTGTGGATGTTTCATGACCCAACTAGGTAACATCATCAGTGCTGAAAGGAAGAGGAGGAGGAGGAGGAGGAGCAGGAAAGTGGGGTCCTTGGTGCTCTCTGAGCATGGTTTCCTGCAGATGTTTTATGACTCAACTAAGTCAACTAATCTGGATGGGGAGGAACAGACTCAGGCTCAACCGATCCAAGACCGAGTGGCTGTGGCTCCCGGCATCCCGATATAGTCAGTTGACGCCATCGCTGACTATTGGGGGCGAGTCTTTGGCCCCCGCGGAGAGGGCTCGCAACTTTGGCGTCCTCCTGGATTCACAGCTGTCTTTAGAAGAGCACCTGACGGCCGTGACCGGGAGGATTTTTCATCAGGTTCGCCTGATTCGCCAGTTGCGTCCCTTTCTGGATCGGGACTCCTTACGCACGGTCACTCATGCCCTCGTCACCTCCCGCCTGGACTATTGTAACACTCTCTACATGTGGCTCCCCTTGAGGAGCACCCGGAGGCTCCAACTGGCGCAGAGTGCGGCCGCGCGGGTGGTAATGGGAGCGACATGATGTTCCCATGAAACACCCCTCTTGCGCGAGCTGCACTGGCTCCCGGTGGTCTTCCGGGTGCGCTTCAAGGTTTTGGTTACCACCTTTAAAGCGCTTCGTGGCTCAGGACCTGGGTACTTACGAGACTGCCTACTACCACCAATAGCCTCCCACCGGCTGGCACGCTCCCATAGAGAGGGACTCCTCCGGGTGCCGTCAGCCAAACAGTGTCGACTGGCGGCCCCCAGGGGGAGAGCCTTCTCTGTGGGGGCACCCACTATCTGGAACGAGCTCCCCCCTGAGATATGGAGGATCCCGGATCTGCGCACTTTCCACTGTGCTCTTAAGCTCCTCCTATTCCAGCAAGCCGGCCTGGCCTAATTTTCTCCCCTGTTTTAAAATTCTTTTAAATTATTGGGATTTTTTAAATTATTAAATTTAATTTATAAATTTATTAATTTAAAATTCTTTTAAATTATTGGGATTTTTTAATTGTCTCGGGCTAAATTATTTAATCTGGTTTTAATTATGTTCCTAACTTTTGTATCTATGTATTTTATTTTGTGCCTGTTCACCGCCCTGAGTCCTTCGGGAGTAGGGCGGTATATAAATCTAATAAAACTAAAACTAAACTAAACTAAGTAACGTTATCAGTGCTAGAAGGGGATTGTATTTGTGGAGACGAGGATGAGGAGGAGGAGGAGGACTGCAGGGTCCTTGGTTCTCTCTGAGCGTCGGTGTTTTCCTTCAGACGTTTCATGACCCAACTAGGTAATGTCATCAATGCTGGAAGGGAGAAGAGGTGGAGGAGGAAGGAGAGGAGGACTGTAGGATCCTTGGTGCTCTCTGAGCTTGGGTCAAAACAGACGAAGCTTCCCCTGACAGGAATTAAGGAGAAACTTCCTGACAGAGAATAATTAACCAGTGGAACATCTTCTCACCAGAAGTTGTGGGTGCTCCAAAGGTTTGTATGAAGAGCCTGGACAGCCAGGTGTCTGAAATAGCATATAGGATCTCCTGCCTGTGGAAGGGGGCTGGACTAGAAGACCTCCAAGGGCCCTTCCGGCTCTATCCTGATTGATTCACCTCCAAGGTCCCTCCCAACTCTTTTGTTATTCTGTATTGCGCCTCCAAAGGGCAGGTTGGCAGCTCCATCGGGGCTTCCTGGATGCTCTCCGGGGGCCGCTCTCACCTTGGCCTGGGGGCTCAGGCCATAACCGGTGAAGATGTATTGCCACTGGGGGAGCCCCAGGTGCGTGATCATAAGCCGGTAGTAAGCGGTGAAGGATGTGGTGAGGAAGTGCCAGTAAAGGGCTCGGTCCAGGAACCAGATTTCCGATTCTGGGGTGACAACTAAGGTGGAGAAAAGAAGAGAAGCCCAAGAGTTAGGAAAACGGGTCGAAAAATCTTTTCTTTTCTGCGGCAAAATTTAACTGCTAAAATTCAGACATTCCAGCCTGGTTTTCACTGCCAGCTCACAAATGCAAACCCAGAATATTTGTATTCTGACCCAGCTCCCCAAACACGACAAACCCTCTGTATTTTAAATCAATGATTCCTTTATTAGGAGAGCCGACAGCCCCAGCAAAAAGTTTCTCTTTCACTGCAGGCTAACAAGTCTGTCCGGCAGGGGAGATGAATCGTTGTCTGCCACATCTATTCATCTCCGCCCCCTGCCTTTTATCCCCAGAGCTAGGAAGGGGCTTCACTTGCAGCAGTGGCTCTTCCATCCCAAGGACTGGTCCATAGATTTCCACTGCTCTCCTCTCCTCTCTGCGTTCTGAGCATCCGTGCTTCAGGCACTGGACCCAGCTGTTCCTCCTCTTCCTCATCAGCCACCTCCAGACCTGGGGGCTGTTGAGTCTCCATCTGAGGGCTGACGGATGGCCCAGGCTCCTCCTCTGTCTCTCTCTGCCAGCTCCATTCCCTCTTCCTCCTCGGAGCTCTCAGGTTGCCTGGATGCAGATCCTGACTCCCACGCCTCCTCCTCCTCCTCTGATTCGGCTGCTGGAGGGGCCAGCGGTCAACAGGCCACAACAAATTGGCTGAGTTAACTGTGGTTCAGTTCGTTGGGGGTGAAAAATCTCCCTAGGAGACAGTGAGTTCTAGTTCCATTTTAGGCATGAAATCTAGATGGCTGACTTTGGGCTAATCACCAGGAGAGAGCGAGTTCTAGTCCTGCTTTAGGCGTGAAATCCGGATGAGTAACTTTAGGCCGATCACCAGGAGACAGTGAGTTCTAGTTCCACCTTAGGCATGAAATCTAGATGGGTGACTTTGGGCTAATCACCAGGACAGAGTGAGTTCTAGTCCTGCTTTAGGCGTGAAATCCGGATGAGTAACTTTTTTTTTTTTAATTTGATTTATATGCTGCCCTTCTCCGGAGACTCAGGGCGGCTTACAATGCGTTAAGCAATAGCCTTCATACTTTTTGTATATTTATACAAAGTCAGCTTATTGCCCCCACAAACTGGGTCCTCAATTTACCTACCTTAGAAAGGATGGAAGGCTGAGTCAACCTTGAGCCTTGGCGAGATTCGAACCTGCAGTAATTGCAGGCAGCTGGTCTTAATAACAGGGTGCTTTAGACCACTGTACTACCAAGGCTCTTTAGGCCAATCACCAGGAGACAGTGAGTTCTAGTCCTGCTTTAGGTGCGAAATCCGGATGGGTGACTTTAGCCCAATCACCAGGAGAGAGTGAGTTCTAGTCCTGCTTTAGGCGTGATATCGGGATGGGTGACTTTAGGCCAATCACCAGGGGACAGTGAGTTCTAGTTCCATCGTAGGCATGAAATCTGGATGGGTGACTTTAGGCCAATCACCAGGAGAGAGTGAGTTCTAGTTCTGCCTTAGGCATGAAATCCGGATGGGTGACTTTGAGCTAATCACCAGGAGAGAGTGAGTTCTAGTCCTGCTTTAGGCGTGAAATCCAAATGGGTGACTTTAGGCCAATCACCAGGGGACAGTGAGTTCTAGTTCTCCTTTAGGCGTGAAATCCGGATGGGTGACTTTAGGCCAATCACCAGGAGATTGTGAATTCTAGTCCTTCCTTAGACATGAGTATTGGCTGGGTAACCTTAAGCCAGTCACCTGCTCAGTCCAACCTACCTCACAGGGTTGTTGTCATGGAGAGCCGGAGGAAGATATGTTGGATATGTTCCACATCTTGAGTTAATTATAAAAACAATAAAGGCAGGAGATAACTAACTAACTAACTAACTAACTAACTAACTAACTAACTAACTAAGGGCATGTCCACCTTCCCCAAAACTGGCCAGTCAATTAGATCCCTAAAATTTCTCACCTTGTCCCCCTCAACTTCTATAGAAAGTCTTGGCTTCCCTACTGTTTGGGAACCCTCTTTCTTGTCAAGGGCCCCCCAATGATGGTTGAAATAAACTATGATTCTTCTCACTGCTGTGCTATCTCTGACTTTTCCACAACTGTCAAGCTTTTGACTGGGTTCTGACCCAGCCTTAACCACGATTTGTGGCTTAGGTTAGCAGTGGTCGGATTCATCCAACCCTGAAACCCAGAAGCTGTGGTCTACAAACCATGATTATCCTCACATCATAAATTTAGACTCTGGTTAACAACGTACCCGGTTTGGTGTTCTTGTAGACGAGGCAGACTTTCCCGTTGCCGGCACAGGAGTCTAATTCGAATATCAGACACCGGGTGTCCAGGTGAGGCCTCTTCGGTTGTTCCTTGTTACCTGTGGAAGAAACAGCCGAGAAAACAGACAAAGCTTCCCCTGACAGGGATTAAGGAGAAACCTCCCTAACAGTGAGAACAATTAACCAGTGGAACTCCTTGCCACCAGAAGTTGAGGGTGCTCCATCACTGGAGTTCCAAAGGTGCTTTTTTTTTCAAGAGGCAACTGGACTTTCTTGTTTCTTCTTTGAAGACGTTTCGCTTCTCATCCGAGAAGCTTCTTCAGCTCTGACTGGATGGAGGGGAATGGAAGGATTTATATTCCTTGCAGACAGCTGGACATTTGCATCCTTTGAGAGGGTCGTTGAGGCCACTTGGAGGTTTGTCTGGAGTCCTCAGGGTCACCTGAGTGGTGCAAATGGGTGTGGACAGCTCCACAACTCAGTCCTTTCAAGCAGTTCCAAGAAGCCTTCACACCCGTTTGCACTACTGCGAGATGAACTTGGAGATCATAACCTTGGAGGTCATCTAGTCTAACCCTTTGCTCGAGCAGGAGACCCAATAGCATCCCAGACAAGCGGTTGTCCCGTCTCTTTTTAGAAGCCTCCAGTGGTGGAGCACCCACAACTTCTGGTGGCAAGCTGTTCCACTGACTGTCCTCACTGTTAGGAAATTTTTTGCCTAATTCCAGGTTGCTTCTCTCCTTGATTAGTTTCCATCCATTGTTTCTTGCTCTGCTTTCAGGTGCCTTTCTTTAAAAATAAGAAAAGTGGGATAAAGATCTAATCTAATAATAATAATACTAAATAACCTCTGTCCTAAACAGCTTTTGATCTTTGTGTCAGTGAAGCAAAGAGGGTGGGGGAGAGGGAGAGGATCTTATAAGTGTGTGTGTGTGCGTCTTTCTCTCTTGTGTGTTTGTGTGTGTGTATGAGTCTGTCATCTGCACCTCTAATAACTGTCTGGTTTGGCTCTGCAACCCAACAAGACGGACACGGACTTCAGAGGATCATTAGAACTCCAGAAAAAAACAGTTGCTACCAACCTGCCTTCCATGGAGGACCTTATACTGCACGAGTCAAAAAGAGGGCTGTGAAAATATCTACAGACCCCTCGCATCCTGCACATAAATTCTTTCAACTCCTACCCTCAAAACGACGCTATAGAGCACTGCACACCAGAACAACTAGACACAAGGACAGTTTTTTCCCGAATGCCATCACTCTGCTAAACAAATAATTCCCTCAACACTGTCAAACTATTTACTAAGTCTGCACTACTATTAATCTTCTCATCGTTCCCATCACCCATCTCCTCCCACTTATGACTGTATGACTGTAATTTTATTGCTTGTATCCTTATGAGTTATATTGATATTGTTTCCTGATTGCTTATTTGTTCCCTATGACTATCATTAAGTGTTGTACCTTATGATTCTTGATGAATGTATCTTTTCTTTTATGTACACCAAGAATATATGCACCAAAGACAAATTCCTTGTGTGTCCAATCACACATGGCCAATAAAGAATTCTATTCTATTCTATTCTATTCTATTCTATTCTATTCTATTCCATTCCATTCCATTCCATTCCATTCCATATTCCATTCCATTCCATTCCATATTCTATTCCATTCCATTCCATTCCATTCCATTCCATTCCATTCCCATTCCATATTCTATTCCATTCCATTCCATTCCATTCCATTCCATTCCATTCCATTCCATTCCATATTCTATTCCATTCCATTCCATTCCATTCCATTCTATTCCATTCCATTCCATTCCACTCCATTCCATTCCATATTCTATTCCATTCCATTCCATTCCATTCCATTCCATTCTATTCTATTCCATTCCATTCCATTCCATTCCATTCCACTCCATTCCATATTCTATTCTATTCCATTCCATTCCATTCCATTCCATTCCATTCCATTCCATTCCATTCCATTCCATTCCATATTCTATTCCATTCCATTCCATTCCATTCCATTCCATTCCATTCCATTCCATTCCATTCTATTCTATTCCATTCCATTCCATTCCATTCCATTCCACTCCATTCCATATTCTATTCCATTCCATTCCATTCCATTCCATTCCATTCCATTCTATTCTATTCCATTCTAATGTATACCTTCCTCCTCGTCGGAGTCTTCCAGGTCAGCCAGGGTTGGCGCACTGGGCAAAGAGTACACCGGTGAAACGCTGAGACGGTTCAGCTTGGAGATGCTGTTAATCGTCATGCAGCCCAGGGAAACCGGGTTATCTTAAAGAGAAAAGAACCTGGTTTGTGCAATAGGCAACACCCAAACCTTAAATCCCAACATTGTTAGAGACCCCACACGCCCACTCCACGGTCTGCATTTCCTGCGTCGGATGAGGAGAGCACATCTTTCTCCTTCTGTCCTGGCCACTTTTTACAGAGGCATCACCGAGAGCATTTTAACAAACCGCATCCCTGTTTGGTTTGGTGACTGCGGCGCCTCAGATAGAAAGTCCCTACAGAGAGTGGTGAGGACAGCGGAGAAGATTATAGGAAACTCACTTCCCATTATTCAGGATATCGCTTACAAGTGCTATGTGCTTAGAGCTCGAAGCCTTGTTAGAGACCCCACATGCCCACTCCATGGTCTGTTTCTGTTGCTCCCCTCTGGGAGAGGGTTTCGAAGTATCTCTAGCAGGATTACCTGATTCTGTAACAGTTTTGTTCCCTAGGCCATCCGTCTGGTAAACTTGCAAGATTTGTTTTTCTCGCCATGTACATCCAAACTAGACTGTGTTACTTCTGAGTGTCATAGAATATAGGTGGGTACAGGCATAATTTTGTATTTATTTATTCATTTTGGAGGTGGTGACCCTTTTGAGAGCTGAATGCAACAACAGTTCATTTTAATGTACGCTGATTCGTGTACATCCAAAGCGACCATAAAGTTATTCTAAGTTCTAAAGTGTTGTGGTCCACCAGCAGCCTGCGGAGCCAGCAGCGGAGTTGGACAGAGGAGGCTGACATGGGCCAGTCCTGGAGTCTGGGGAAGGCCCGGACGAGGGCTCTGCATCGGAGGCAGAGATGGTTCCATGTGAGAATCAGGTGACCATAGTACATGTATAGACCAGTCTAGCTGGTTGGACACGTGTACGGAACTTAGCACCGAAATAATCTGACTATGAAAAAGCGGGTTCAGCTAGATGACCATTGGAGGGACCCTATTTAGATTGGAGGCTGTGTTTGCTGCAAGGCATAGACATCTCCTTGTAGAACATTCCTGACAACTGAGGTAGATCTCTGGTAATGGGGCCTCTCGGTTGGCAGGTGATGGGATGCTGGGAACGAAGCCAAATATGATAACATAGCCAGAGTTAAGTTTTGTTTTTACCTTAAGAATTGCTTTCCTAGAATTCACGTGATTTACTGTAAATTGTAGAATGTGAAGCCTATATGGATGCTTTTCTTTTTTCATGTATGTAATATGAGATATGTAGCCATAACGCCTTCTGATGATGCTGTATTTTGATAACTAATAAAAGAGATGGTAGGCTTTTGTTCTCTGCTCTCTCATCCCGAGAAACACCTGTCCTTGTGCGTTCTCTAATCTGGACTACTCATGAGGAGCCAGCCAACAGTTCCAGGGCCATCGGGGCGTGATGTGCGGACTCCGGAGCCTCCAGAGGCGGACAGCAGAGAGGCAGAGGAACAGGAGGAGCCTGTTCCTAGTGCGCGCATGCGCAGAGCTGCCAGAAGGCAAGAGCAGCTAAAGCAAAAGGGACGACTCGGGAGTAAGGCCAGGAGATGATTGGCCCCTTCCATAAGGCTTAAAAGAGCAGCAAAGGCACTTGGGCTCTTTGTAGGAAAGCAACGTTGCTAAATCTGTTTCCAGTCGGCGTCTCTTGTTTCTGAACTTCACGGGGCTTTGCCAAGAAAGGTGTCAAAGAAGATAAAGGCTTGTGATAAGCCCAAAGGACTTTTTCTGAAGGACTTGTTTTGGAATTAATTTGGACTAAGCTGAGAATGAAGTAATTCTCAGCTGTTATAATAAAATAGGTTTGTTTGGGACTAATCGTGTCTTGTAATGACTAAGTGAGTCTGGGTCACAACACCCCGGGGTGATTTCGCTGCTGAATGAATTGCAATTTTCTCACAAATAAAAAGGAAGAGAGCATGAAATTTATCCCAAAGAAACAGAACAATTCATCTTAGGACCAGTTGCTTAGTAAATCAGGATGGGCCCTCCCACAAAAGGCACAGGAAGTCCTCAAGTTACAACAGTTCATTTAGTGACCGTTCGAAGTTAATGACGTTCGTCCATCGTGTTCGAAGAGGACCTTGACATCTAACGGTTTGTGGGCTGCCCAGGGTGTGTCCGCAGGTGCCTGGTAAGGCCTATATGGGCATGGAATGTTGTGCTACATGTCGGGCAGGCATGTGTAGGCACCACTGTTGCAGCATTCGAAGTTACGACACTGAAAAAAACGACTGAGGACCGTTTTACACACTTATGACGGTTGCAGCCTCCCCAGGATCACGTGATTTATATTCAGACGCTTGACAACTGACTCACATTTATGACGGTTTCAGCGTCCCGGGGGGTGGGGGGGGTCGTGTCACGTGATCCCCTTTTGTGACCTTCTGACAAGCCAAGTCCATGGGGCAGCCAGATTCGCTTAACGACCGAGTGACTAATTTAACAACTGCAGGGATTCGGTTAACAAATGTGGCAAGGAAAGTCGTAAAACAGAGCAAAATTCACATCGCAAATGTCTCACTTTGCAACGTAGATTTTGGGCTCAATTGTGGTCGTAAGTCAAGGACTACTTGTACTTATGACCCAGTTCTGAAGTTATAAGGGGTGAACCATGACATGAACATTATTTGGGGTGCTCGGCATCCTGTCTGCATTTGTGGTTGTTTGTGGTGTCCCATGAACACAATTTATGAAAGTTTTGTCCAAAAAACAGCATTTACTTCGGGTTCTCTGCAAAAATACTCCATAGCGAACAATGGGTTCGCTTAACAGTCAACCATGTGTCCGACCTTGTTTTGCGGCAGTCATTAAGTGCATCACCATAGTCTTTAGGAAGTTGCTAATGGAAAACTCCATGGCTAAGCAGCACCGTTGTTAAGTGAGCTCTGCCCCATTTTACGACCTTTCTTGACACAGTCGTTAAGTGAATCACTGCAGGTTTGTCAAGTTAGTAACACAGTTGTTAAGTGAATCTGGCCTCCTGATGGACTTGGCTTGTCGGAAGGTCATAAAAAGGGGATCCCCGCAACCGTCATAAATGTGAACCATTTGGCAAGCATCCAAATTCTGATTACATGACCACACAATGGTCCTAAGTGTGAAAAACGTCCCTAAGTCCCTTTTTTCAGTGTTGTTGTAATTTCAAACGGTCACTCAGCGGGATAGATGTAAGTCGAGGACTACCTGTAATCGGGTCTGGCACAATATGACTCGCTTGTCTCCAACCTTCGTTTTGTGGCGAAGGTTGTTGAGAGTGTGGTGGCACGACAACTGCCCAGGCACCTGGATGAAGCTATCTATCTGGACCCGTGCCAGTCGGGCTTCAGGCAGGGGTACAGCACAGAAACGGCATTGGTCGCGTTGGTGGATGATCTCTGGAGGGCTCGGGACAGGGGTTGCTCCTCTGTCCTAGTCCTATTAGACCTCTCGGCGGCTTTTGATACCATCGACCATGGTATCATGCTGCAGCGGTTGAGGGGGTTAGGAATAGGGGGCACTGTTCTGCGGTGGTTCTCCTCCTTCCTCTCCGGCTGCTCGCAGTTCGTGTTGGCAGGGGGGCAGAGGTTGACCTCGAGGCATCTCGCATGGGGAGTGCTGCAAGGGTCGGTCCTCTTGCCTCTTCTGTTCAACATTTATGTGAAGCCGCTGGGTGAGATCATCCGTGGTTTTGGGGTGAAGTGTCATCTGTACGCTGATGATACTCAGCTGTACATCTCCACCCCGGACCACCCCAACGATGCCCTTGATGTGATGTCTCGCTGCCTGGAGGCCGTGCGGGCCTGGATGGGGAGGAACAGGCTCAGACTCAACCCGTCCAAGACCGAGTGGCTGTGGTTGCCGGCGTCCCGATATAGTCAGCAGGTGCCATCACTGACTATTGGGGGTGAATCTTTGCCCCCCACAGAGAGGGCTCGCAATCTGGGTGTCCTCCTGGACGCACGGCTGTCTTTAGAAGAGCATATGACGGCCGTGGCCAGGGGGGCCTTTTATCAGGTTCGCCTGATTCGCCAGTTGCAGCCCTTTCTGGACCGGGACGCCTTGCGCACGGTCACTCATGCCCTTGTCACCTCCTGGCTGGACTATTGTAATGCTCGCTACATGGGGCTCCCCTTGAAGAGCACTCGGAGGCTCCAACTGGTCCAGAATGCGGCCGCGTGGGTGGTCATGGGTGCAACTCGTTGTGCCCGCGTGACACCCCTCCTGCGCGAGCTGCACTGGCTCCCGGTGGTCTTCCGAGTGCGATTCAAGGTGTTGGTTACCACCTTTAAAGCGCTCCATGGCATAGGACCCGGGTACCTCCGAGACCGTCTTCTGCCACCAATAGCCTCCCACCGACCAGTTCGTTCCCACAGGGAGGGTCTCCTCAGGGTGCCATCGGCCAAGTTATGCCGGCTGACGACACCCAGGGGGAGGACCTTCTTTGTGGGAGCCCCTGCCCTTTGGAACAAGCTGCCCCCAGAAATACGTAAGATCTCCGACCTCCGGGTGTTTCGCTGCGCTCTGAAGACCCTGTTGTTCCGCCAGGCCGGGCTATTAACATAACGTTTTAAATTGGGGTATTTTAAATTTCTGGGATTTTAATTGGAGCCTAATTATTTAATGATTTTAAATTTTAACTGTTGTTTTGTTTCTGTGTTTTTAAATAGGCTGTACACCGCCCTGAGTCCTTCGGGAGAAGGGCGGTATAGAAATAAAATTATTATTATTATTAAAGAGTTTTGTCGTGTGGCTTATTAACTCCGGGCCGTCTGTGGGGGTGCGTGTGGGGTACGGGGACAGAATAAAGGGGACCGGAGACCCTTACCATCAAACTTGACATTCCACGTCATTCGGAAACCGTCTGTCATGAGGTAGAAGTTCTTCAGATCTTCGGGTAGGACGCAGGCGTTTTTCTGCAAGCGAAGACGAGGGGGGAGGGGGGGACACGACAAAAACAGAAAGCTGTTAGGATTGAAGAAGTGGGATGTGTTGCATCCTGTGGCCTACACACCGGAAGAAAGGCAGGTATAGACTACCCTGGAGAAGGTGACTCTGGAGAACACTTACTAGCAGTAACAGTGAGAGGGATCTTGGAGTCTTAGTGGACAACCAGCTAAATAGGAGTTAACAGTGTGCGGCGGCAGCCAAAAAAGCCAATGCAATCCTAAATTGCATTAACAGAGGGATACAATCAAGATCAAGGGAGGTACTAATACCACTCTATAAAGCTCTAGTAAGACCACACCTAGATTTGGTCACCATACTATAAAAAAGAGACTTTAGAAAAAGTGCAGAGAAGAGCAACCAGATGATGATGAGGGGACTGGAGGCTAAAACATACGATGAGGTTGGTGGCGCAGCAGACTAAAGCGCTGTTAAGTAACACCAGCTGCCTGCAAACAACCCTGCTGAAGATTCTTAACCGATAGAACCAAATTGGCTTAATCATCTTATATTCACATTTTATATGTATGTTATTTTAACTGTTCACCGCCCTGAGTCCTTCGGGAGAAGGGCGGTTTAAAAATTGAATGAATGAATGAATGAATGAATGAATGAATGAATGAATAAATAAATAAATTACTGCGAGTTCAATTCTCACCAGGCTCAAGGTTGACTCAGCCTTCCATCCTTTCGAGGTAGGTAAAATGAGGACCGGGATTGTGGGGGCAATAAGCTGACTTTGTATAAAAAAGAACACCGCTTGGGGGGGGGGGGGTGAAAGCCCTGCTAAGCAGGTATATACAAAAGTATGAAGGCTATTGCTTAACATATTGTAAGCCGCCCTGAGTGTCCAGAGAAGGGCGGCATATAAATCGAACCAATAAATAAATGAATAAACTGGACATGGTTGATCTAGTGAAGAGAAGGACCAGGGAAGACAGGATAGCCGTCTTCCAATATTTGAGGGGCTGCCACAGAGAGGAGGGGGACAACCTATTATCCTAGGCACCCGAAAGCCAGACAAGGAATAATGGATGGAAGCTAATCAAGGAGAGAAGCAACTTGGAATTGAGAAATTTCTTGACAGGGTGAACAATTAAACAGTGGAACGACTTGCCTTCAGAAGTTGTGGGGGCTCCATCACTGGAGGTTTTTAAGAAGAGACTGGACAGCCATTTGTCTGAAATGGTACAGGATCTCCTGCTTGAGCAGGGGGTTGGACTAGAAGACCTCCAAGGTCCCTTCCAGCTCTATTCTGATTCTGACATGACAGCAGTCTTCCAATAGTGAAGAGTCTGCCATAAAGAAGAGGGGGTCAGCCTATTCTCTAAAGCAGAAGACAAGAAGCAATGGATCAAAGCCAAGCAAGGAGAGAAGCAACCTAGAACGAAGGAGAGATTTCCAGACATTGAGAACAATTCACCGGTGGAACGACTTGCCACCAGAAGTTGTGAGTGCTCCCTCACTAGAGGTTTCTAAGAAGAGCCATTTGTCCAAAAAGATTTAATTTTAATTTGTTTAATTTTTTAAAAAAATTTTATATGCCGCCCTTCTCCGGAGACTCAGGGCGGCTTACAATGCGCTAAGCAATAGCCTTCATCCTTTTGTATATTTATATAAAGTCAGCTTATTGCCCCCACAAACTGGGTCCTCATTTAACCTACCTTAAAAAGGATGGAAGGCTGAGTCAACCTTGAGCCTGGTGAGAATTGAACTCACAGTAATTGCCGGCAGCTGGATGTTAAATGCTGCCTTAGTAGGAGGCATTAGCCTCCTAAGCCACTCAGGAGCCTTTTTAAAGGCTAGAAGATCTCCAAGATCCCTTCCAACTCTGTTATTCCAGGTTTTTTTTTTTTTTTTAATTTGATTTATATGCCGCCCTTCTCCGGAGACTCAGGGCGGCTTACAAGGCGCTAAGCAATAGCCTTCATCCTTTTGTATATTTATACAAAGTCAGCTTATTGCCCCCACAACTGGGTCCTCAATTTACCTACCTTAGAAAGGATGGAAGGCTGAGTCAACCTTGAGCCTGGGGAGATTTGAACCTGCAGTAATTGCAGGCAGCTGGTGTTAATAACCAGCTTAATAACAGGGTGCCTTAGACCACTGTACTACCAAGGCAGTTGGTTTGGCCCCGACATTCTTCAAAGTTTCATCCTGAAATAGCCAATGGTTGCGTTTCCCGTAGCTATATTTTCTCTCCGCTGACCCTCCGGCATTCTTAAATACCGGAGTGAATGCTGACTCCTTGGAACCGGTGGGCCCCTTAGCTTAGCGGGCCGTCCAGCTATCTTTGATCAGTTCTCAGCTGTCTGGACAGCTGCCCGCTGTCCGTTCTCAGCTGGATTCTCCTGGCCATCTAAATGATTTGCCCCTCCAATTCTGCCTTTGGAAAACTACGGGCCGCAGAGGTGGTGGTTGTAAAAACTCAAGAGGAAAAAGATTGGCCTGAGTTACAGTCTTCTGGAGAGAGAGAGAGAGTAAGAAAAATAATAATAATAATAATAATTTTATTTCTATACCGCCCTTCTCCTGAAGGACTCAGGGCGGTGTACAGCCAATTTAAAAACACAAGACACAACAATAATTAAAAATTAAAATAATTAAATAGATTTGGCCGATTTAAAACCCCAAAAATTAAAAATAAGGTAAGAAGGTTCAGCTTTTTCCCAGTTTCGGTTAAATGAAATTCCTAGCAGACAGGAAGCAGCAGGTGAAGCTAAGCAGAATCGCATCAGATACCTGTACAATTAGCACAGGGGCCCCTCAAGGCTGTGTGCTCTCCCCACTTCTCTTCCCTCTGTATACCAATAACTGCATCTCTAATGATCCATCTGTTGAACTACTGAAGTTCGCAGATGACACAACAGTCATCGGTCTCATTCGAGACAACGATGAATCCGCATACAGACGGGAGGTTGAACAACTAGCCTCGTGGTGCGACCGGAACAATCTGGAACTGAACACACTCAGAAATGGTGGTGGACTTTAGGAGAAACCCTCCCATACTACCACCTCTCACGATACTAGACCACACAGTATCAACAGTAGAGACCTTCAAATGTCTAGGTTCTACCATATCACAAGATCTAAAATGGACAGCAAACATCAAAAACGTCATCAAAAAAGCACAACAAAGAATGTTCTTTCTGCGCCAACTCAGGAAGCTCAAACTGCCCAAGGAGCTGCTGATCCAATTCAACAGAGGAATTATGGAGTCTGTCATCTGCACCTCCATAACTGTCTGGTTTGGCTCTGCAACCCAACAAGACGGACACAGACTTCAGAGGATAATTAGAACTGCAGAAAAAAACATGGCTACCAACCTGCCTTCCATGGGGGACCTGAATACTGCACGAGTCAAAAAGAGGGCTGGGAAAATATTTACAGACCCCCTCACATCCTGGACATAAATTGGTTCAACTCCTACCCTCAAAACGATGCTATAGAGCACTGCACACCAGAACAACTAGACACAAGGACAGGTTTTTCCCCAACGCCATCACTCTGCTAAACAAATAACTCCCTCAACACTGTCAAACTATTCACTAAGTCTGCACTATTATTAATTTTCTCATCGTTCCCATCACCCATCTCCTCCCACTTATGACTGTATGACTGTAACCTTGTTGCTGGTATCCTTAAGATTTATATTGACTGTTTCCTAATATGATTTGATTGCTTATTTGTTCCCTATGACTATCATTAAGTGTTGTACCTTACTATTCTTGACGAACGTATCTTGTCTTTTATGTACACCGAGAGCGTATGCACCAAAACAAATTCCTTGGATGTCCAATCAAACTTGGCCAATAAAGAGTTCTGTTCTGTTCTGTTCTGTTCTGTTCTGTTCTGTTCTGTTCTGTCTGTTCTGTTCTGTTCTGTTCTGTTCTGTTCTGTTCTGTTCTGTTCTGTCCTGTCCTGTCCTGTCCTGGTTCTGTTCTGTTCTGTTCTGTTCTGTTCTGTTCTGTTCTGTTCTGTCCTGTCCTGTCCTGTCCTGTCCTGTCCTGTCCTGTCCTATCCTATCCTATCCTATCCTATCCTATCCTATCCTATCCTATCCTATCCTATCCTATCCTATCCTATCCTATCCTATCATTTTGGATTCGCAAATTTCCTGCCGTTTTCTTTTTGAACGTGTTCATTTGTTCGTACACAGTGGGCATTTTTAAAATTAGCAATTTAATCCTGAACCAGGAGCTTCCTCCACACCTTTTTAAGTCTCTTCCTCTCCTCTCACCTGTTGAATTGACTGGAGGCAGCTGGTGGAGGGGAAACGAAGGGAAACTCTGACCTCTAGTGGCAAAAAGTGGGAAGGTAAGAAGTGATGCTTTTTAGAGGCGTTTTGACTCCTGGTGCAATTTATTTACCTGAATCCCGAATTTATTATTTTGAAATATTAATTCAAGGGGGTGAAGATATCCAACACACCTTCCTGCTCCTATTTTCTGCATAACAACAACTCAGTGAGGTGGGTTGGACTGTCCAGGGACGGGCTGAAGATCACCCAGCCAGATTTCCTGGCTAAAAGGGACTAGAACTCACTATCTCCTGGTGATCGGCTCAAAGTCACGCAGCTGGCATTCATACCTAAGGCAGGACTAGAACTCACCATCTCCTGGCGATTGGCCCAAAGTCACCCTGCGGCTTTCACACTTAAGGTGGGACTAGAACCTCACCATCTCCTGGCGATTGGCCCAAAGTCACCCTGCTGGCTTTCATGCCTAAGGCGGAACTAGAACTCCCTGTCTCCTAGTGATTGGCCAAAAGTCCCCCTAGCAAACTTTCATGCCTAAAGCGGAACTATAACTCATTGTCTCCTGATAATTGGCACAGTCACTCAGCTGTTTTTCAAGCCTATGGCATGACTAGAACTCATCTTCTCCTGGTGATTGGCCCAAAGTCACCCAGCTGGCTTTCACACCTAAGGCGGGACTAGAACTCACCGTCTCCTGGTGATTGGCTGAAAGTCCCCCTAGCAAACTTTCATGCCTAAAGCGGACTAGAACTCCTGTCTCCTAGTGATTGGCTGAAAGTCCCCCCTAGCAAACTTTCATGCCTAAAGCGGAACTAGAACTCCCTGTCTCCTGGTAATTGGCCCAGTCACCCAGCTGTCTTTCATGACTAAGGCAGGACTAGAACTCACCATCTCCTGGCGATTGGCCCAAAGTCACCCTGCCGGCTTTCATGCCTAAGGCGGAACTATAACTCACCGTCTCCTGGTAATTGGCCCAGTCACCCAGCTGTCTTTCAAGCCTATGGCATGACTAGAACTCACCATCTCCTGGTGATTGGCCCAAAGTCACCCAGCTGGCTTTCACACCTAAGGCGGGACTAGAACTCACTATCTCCTGGTGATTGGCTCAATGTCACCCAGCCGGCTTTCATGCCTACGCCCGGACTAGAACTCCCCATGTCCTTGTTTTTAGCTTGGTGCTTTAACTACTACTCCACACTGACTCCCATTTGTGCAAGAGAGCAGATTAAATGCAAACGGAGGCCGCAGTACCTGTTCCCAGGAGACAATTGCGTGTCGCTCGGCCGGTTCTTTTTCTACAAACATCACTTCTGTAACTCCTGGAGAGGTTTCTACGACGACAGACAACACAAAAAACCTCAGACGTTGAGTTGTCAAAGAACAATGGGAAACGTAAGAAGGAGAAGTGGAAAAAAAAAAAAACAGGGAAAATTTTCACACATTTTGTAAAAAAAAAGAATAAACCTTAATTTCTCTTTTCACTCTTGCAAAATACATTATGGCAAGAAAAAAAAGTGATTTTTTAAAAATGTTACTGAAGTATCTATGCATTTTACAGGAATTCAGTTTGCCATTTTTTTCCAGATAATTTTCAGATAATAGAAGATACTTTTTTCAGCCCAAATCATCACATAGGGCGATTGTTGCAGGGAATTTTTACAACAACCACCCTGCGATGTAGGCCAGGTTAAGCGAAAACTACGAGTTCAAAGATCCCCCATGGAGGGCAGAGATTGGATTGGAATATCAGCCACTCACCCCAATCCAGGGCTTTAATCGCTACATCACAGTGGCCGTATCTTATAGTTCGCAGAGGCAGGTATGGGGATAATGGGAGATGTAGTCCAAACACAGAGAGCATCGGGATAGGGAAGGTTGATAGAAATTATTAGAAAGTCCACATCCTGATGACAGGTAGTCCTTGACATAAGACTGCAATTGCGAACCTAATTTCCGTTGCTAAACAAGGGGGATGTTAAGTCTTTCCTCATTTTATGACCGTTTTTGCCATGGTTGTTAAGCGAATCAAATGGTCGTTTAGCAAATCTAGCTTCCTTCATTGACTTTGCTTATCGGAAGCCAGTTGGGAAAGTCACAAAAGGCGATCATGGGATCGCGGGAGGCTGCAACCGTCCTAAATACATGCCTGGATTTTAATCTCTGATACAGTGACGGTCATAAGTGCGAGGACCAAGTTGTTAAGTCATTTTTTTTTTTCAGTGACACCGTGACTTCGAAGAGTCGCTACACGAATGGCTCCAATAAAGGAGAATATTTGTAGCTCCGGGCTGAAATAAAGGGAAGAGGTAGTCCTCAAACATATGACCAAAATTTATGTTGCTAAGTAAGAAATTTGTTAAGTGAGTCCCCCCCCCCATTTTACAACTTTTCTTGCCACCGTTGTTAAGTGAATCCCTGCAGTTAAGTTAGTAATCCGGTTGTTAAGCGAGTCTGGCTTCCCCATGGCCTTTGCTCGGCAGAAGGTCGCAAAAAGAGAATCAACACAGACCCACCCCCCCCCGGAGGCCACAACCGTCATAAAAGGTGAGTCAGTGGTCAAGCATCTGAATGTAAATCACGCAACACGGGAAGGCTGCAATGGACATAACTGCGAACAATGGTCTTATGAGCCACTTTTTTTCAGTGATAAAAAAAGTAAAACAAAAAAATAACAATAAAATGATACAAATGAAGTAAAAACTAAGAATATATCAGATAAAAATCAAATAAAAACTAAACATAAAATGGTAAAAATAATGAATCAAAACAAGGCAAAAAAGTAACACAAAAAGTAAAACTAAAACAATAAAAATAAAGTAAAAACTAAAAATATATCAGATAAAAATCAAATAAAAACTAAACATAAAATGGTAAAAATAATGAATAAAAACAAGGCAAAAAAGTAAAATAAAAAATAAAAAGATAAAAATAAAGTAAAAACTAAAAAAATATCAGATAAAAATCAAATAAAAACTAAACATGAAATAAAACGATAAAAATAATGAATAAAAACAAGGCAAAAAAGCAAAATAAAAAATAAAAAGATAAAAATAGAGTAAAAACTAAAAATATATCAGATAAAAATCAAATAAAAAACTAAACATGAAATAAAACGATAAAAATGATGAATAAAAACAAGGCAAAAAAGTAAAATAAAAAATAAAAAGATTAAAAATAAAGTAAAAACTAAAAATATATCAGATAAAAATCAAATAAAAACTAAACATGAAATAAAACGATAAAAATAATGAATAAAAACAAGGCAAAAAAGTAAAATAAAAAATCAAAAGATAAAAATAAAGTAAAAACTAAAAATATATCAGATAAAAATCAAATAAAAACTAAACATGAAATAAAACGATAAAAATAATGAATAAAAACAAGGCAAAAAGTAAAATAAAAAATCAAAAGATAAAAATAAAGTAAAAACTAAAAATATATCAGATAAAAATCAAATAAAAAACTAAACATGAAATAAAACGATAAAAATAATGAATAAAAACAAGGCAAAAAAGCAAAATAAAAAATAAAAAGATAAAAATAGAGTAAAAACTAAAAATATATCAGATAAAAATCAAATAAAAACTAAACATGAAATAAAACGATAAAAATGATGAATAAAAACAAGGCAAAAAAGTAAAATAAAAAATAAAAAGATTAAAAATAAAGTAAAAACTAAAAATATATCAGATAAAAATCAAATAAAAACTAAACATGAAATAAAACGATAAAAATAATGAATAAAAACAAGGCAAAAAAGTAAAATAAAAAATCAAAAGATAAAAATAAAGTAAAAACTAAAAATATATCAGATAAAAATCAAATAAAAACTAAACATGAAATAAAACGATAAAAATAATGAATAAAAACAAGGCAAAAAAGTAAAATAAAAAATCAAAAGATAAAAATAAAGTAAAAACTAAAAATATATCAGATAAAAATCAAATAAAAACTAAACATGAAATAAAACGATAAAAATAATGAATAAAAACAAGGCAAAAAAGTAAAATAAAAAATAAAAAGATTAAAAATAAAGTAAAAACTAAAAATATATCAGATAAAAATCAAATAAAAACTAAACATGAAATAAAACGATAAAAATAATGAATAAAAACAAGGCAAAAAAGCAAAATAAAAAATAAAAAGATAAAAATAGAGTAAAAACTAAAAATATATCAGATAAAAATCAAATAAAAACTAAACATGAAATAAAAGGATAAAAATGATGAATAAAAACAAGGCAAAAAAGTAAAATAAAAAATAAAAAGATAAAAATAGAGTAAAACTAAAAATATATCAGATAAAAATCAAATAAAAACTAAACATGAAATAAAACGATAAAAATGATGAATAAAAACAAGGCAAAAAAGTAAAATAAAAAAAATAAAAAGATAAAAATAAAGTAAAAACTAAAAATATATCAGATAAAAATCAAATGAAAACTAAACATAATTTGCCTTGCTTTTATTCATTATTTTTATCGTTATGAGATAAAAATAAACCCCCCAAAATAAAAATTAAATTTTAAAAAAATTAAAATTAAATTTAAAGAAACGGTGTACAAAGAATCAAGGTCCCCATTAGGACATCCCAGCTGGAATCTTCAGACCAGGAATCCAAAATCAAATTATTTTTTTCCCCCTTTGCTTTGCATTCTCAACCTTGACTGGTAAGGATGGACGGGAGACCACCAGGAGATGCCCAGCAGTAGGCAAACCCCCCCAAAATAGGAAAATACAGGTCCAAGCATCGTGAGGAGCAGTTTGGGCCAAAGCTGGGAGAATCTGAAGCCCCGCAATCGCCTCCCTGGGAAAAGCGAGTCCTCTGTTCTTGCTGCCCGCGGAACTCCCTGCCACTTGATACTGGCAGAACCGGCCGGGACCGTCTCCCTGGCAACGCGAAGGGGCGGGACCCGGCTGCCACTCACCCAGGAGGCGGGTCACCCCGAGGGTGAGCTTCTCCAGGTAGGGCTTCATCCCTTGCAGACCCCGGTCCTCCATCTCCCCAGCCGCAAAACCGCCCCCCGGACGAAAGTCTTTTGTCCCCTCTCGCCACCCTTACCCCCTCACTTTTCCTCTCTCCCCCCTCCACCGCATCGCATCACATCCGACCCCGTTCGTTGACTCGCGACGCTTGACGGGAGCCGTAGTCCCACTCGGGTACCGATTCCTGGGAGAGAAGGAAAGTTTAAAAAATTAAAACCACACCTCCCACAAAGCCCCGCGGTGGGTTGTTTTTTTTTTTCCTTGCGGGAGGACAACCATTGGCTGCTGGCGAGACTCCGCGTTGCCGGGGCCGTATCTGGGCAAAGCTTGTGCCGGCTAGCCAATGAGGAGCGAGGATGGGCGTGGGGGGCGGGGTGGGGCGGAGGGACGCTGGGAGTGGCGGTTGTTTCAAGATGGCGGATGTGGCCGCGGGGCTGAAGCCGGAAGGAGCCGCTTACTGGAGCCGGGACCGTATCCTTTATTCGGGGGAGGGGGCGGCGGCTGGTCGTGGGGGAGGCGGTTGACGGAAGGGAGCTTGGCGGGCTTGTCCTGAGGGGAGGCCGTGGCTTGGCAGCGGTGACGCCGAGAACCGTGACTGGGTAGCCTCTGAACATGTACAGAGTGCTACCTCGGGTTCCCCCCCCCTTCTTCAGTAGGAGTTTTTCCCGCCTGCAGAGTTGTGGCCTTGAAAGATAAAAGCAAGTCTTCCTCAGCCTGGTTGTCTTTTGGACTACCACACCCATCCTCCGCAGGCTGCGGTGCTGATCCACCCCAACGGTCGTCCCAGCAGTGAAGGGACTTCAGGTCCCATCCTCCTCAGCCAGCTGCGTGGCAGGAGGGGAGGCGCAACCCCAGTGCCTTTTCAATGGGTTGTAAAGGAATGGGTTTTGGAGTGGGCGGAATTCGGGGTCTTGATAGAGAGGATGGGCTTTGTAGTCCACGATGAAGCATGACCTCTTAGTGCTGCCGAAGGGCTTGAATTAGGATTGGGGGGGGTGGGAAATTGCTGGATGGAATGGCTTTGAAGACCCCTATTTATTATTTGCTACATTTTATAGGTCGTCCTCGACTTGCGGCCACAATGGAGCTCCCAAATTTCTGTCGCTAAGTGAGACAGTTTAGTGAATTTTGCCCTGCTTTACGACCTTTCTTGCCACTGTTCGTTAAGTGAATCGCAGTTGTTCGGTTAGTCCAGACAGTTGTTAAGTGAATCTGGTTTTCCCCGTTGATTTGGCTTGTCGGAAGGTCGCAAAAGGGGATCGCGTGACCCCCGAGACGCTGCGACCGTCATAAATATGAGTCAGTTGCCAAGCGTCTGAATTTGAATCATGTGACCATTGGGATGCTGGAAGGGTCGTAAGTGTGGAAAAACGGTCATAAATCACTTTTTTCCCGTGCTGTTGTAACTTCGAACGGTCACTAAATGAACTGTTGTAAGTGGAGGACTCTCTGGATGCCGCCTATCTCATTAACCAAAGTCATTGCGGCATAAAACTTACATAATGAATTTGGGGAGGGGGCAAGCAGGTGGATCCTTCCAGTGGGAATATGCCCCAAGAGATCCCATTGCAGGCCAACGTTCATCCCCCAAAAGCAACATGTCGTTTTGTGTTTGAATGAAACTAACAATAACTAAGCTGACAATGATGGGTTGTTGTTTCCCACTTACAAACTACGCCCTTGAACTTGGTTAAAGAGGGATCTAAAGTTTATTTAATGCACCAAACTATATAGTAAACTGAAGAGCAAGCTCAGCTCCTCAAGTTAAACGTAAACCACTCTCGGGATGGGTGAGTACATAAATGCTTTATGTACATGAAGTATATGTACATAAAATACATATGAAGTATGTATTGTATTAAAAAGTATAAACTACTTAAAATATGTACATAAAGAAATACATGAGAGCTGTCTCTATAAATACAGGTAGTCCTCAACTTACGACCACAATTGAGCCCAACATTTCTGTTACTAAGTGAGATGTTTGTTAAGTGAGTTTTGCCCCTATTTTACGACCTTTCTTGCCTTGGTTGTTAAGTGAATCACAAGTTGATAAGTTAGTAACCCAGTTGTTATTCGGATGCTGATTACAGGCAGTCCTCGACTTACAACTGCAATTGAGCCCGAAATTTCTGTTATTAAGTGAGACGTTTGTTGTGAATTTTGTCTATTTTATGACCTTTCTTGCCTCGGTTGATAAGTGAATCACTGGAGTTGCTAAATCAGTAATCCAGTTGTTAAGTGAATGTGGCTTCCCTATTGACTTTGCTTGTACGAAGGTTGCAAAAGTTTATCCCATGACCTTGGGACCCTGCGACCGTCATAAATATGAGTCATTTGTCAAGTGTCTGAATTTGGATCACATGATCATGGGGGTGCTGGAAAAGTTGTAACTCAATTGCAGTCGTAAGTCGAGGACTACCTGAATGTGATAACTGGAGGTGAACATTATATAAATTCATTAGCTAAAATGGATGTGTTCCCATCTCCCTGACTTGAAGCGTTTTGGAAATCTGTATTTTTGAGGGAGAATTCCCCCACTGTGAAATCACAGTGGGGGACTTAAAATTAAATTTTATTAAATTTATTTAATCAAATTAATTTATTAAATAAATGAATAGAATTTTTTATTGGCCAAGTGTGATTGGACACACAAGGAATTTGTCTTGGTGCATACGCTCTCAGTGTACATAAAAGAAAAGATACGTTCATCAAGAATCATAAGGTACAACACTTAATGATAGTCATAGGAAAACAGTCAATATAAATTGTAAGGATACAAGCAACAAAGTTACAGTCATACAATCATAAGTGGGAGGAGATGAGAAGATTAATAGTAATGCAGACTTAGTAAACAAATTAGTTTGACAGCGTTAAGGGAATTATTTGTTTAGCAGAGTGATGGCGTTGGGGAAAAAACTGTCCTTGTGTCTAGTTGTTCTGGTGTGCAGTGCCCTATAGCGTCGTTTTGAGGGTAGGAGTTGAAACAGTTTATGTCCAGGATGCGAGGGGTCTGTAGATATTTTCACAGCCCTCTTTTTGACTCGTGTAGTAGACAGGTCCTCAATGGAAGGCAGGTTGGTAGCCATTGTTTTCTCTGCAGTTCTAATCATCCTCTGAAGTCTGTGTCCGTCTTGTTGGGTTGCAGAGACAAACCAGAGAGTTATTAGAGGTGCAGATGACAGACTCCATAATTCCTCTGTTGAATTGGATCAGCAGCTCCTTGGGCAGTTTGAGCTTCCTGAGTTGGCGCAGAAAGAACATTCTTTGTTGTGCTTTTTTGATGATGTTTTTGATGTTTGCTGTCCATTTTAGGTCTTGTGATATGGTAGAACTTAGAAATTTGAAGGTCTCTATTGTTAATACTGTGTTGTCTAGTATTGTGAGAGATGGAAGTATGGGACGGTTTCTCCTAAAGTCCACCACCATTTCTATAGATGTCTTCCCTTCTCCCACAATCCCTGGCTTGAAAAGTTTCACAAGTCTGTATTTTCAATGGGGAATTCCTCCACCGTATTTCTCCTTTCAGCGTTTTGCCCACGCTGGCTAGAATTTGACCCAAAAAGGACTTTGGAGTTGGGCTTTTTTATGATCCTTGGGTGATTTGGACAATGGATGTGCAAATCTTTTGGGTTTTCATTGTTTCCTTTAACTGATTAAGCTTAGAATTGACTGATAAAATACCTGCAGCCGATTGAAAAGCTTTAATGAACAGGATAAATCAGGGTTTTTCTGCTTAAAAGATGTGTGTGGAATTCAACCTCCTTGGGCCGTGATGGTGAACCTATGGCATACGTGCCACAGGTGGCACCTGGAGCCATATCTGGGCATGCGAGCATTGCCCTAGCTCAGCTCCAGCGTGCCTGTGTGCATCACCCAACTGGTTTTCAGGCCTTGTGAACCCACTGGAAGTTGGGAGACGGGCTGTTTCTGGCCTCCGGAGGGCCTCTGGGGGGATTAGGGAAGGCCGTTTTCGCTCTCCCCAGGCTCCTAGAAAGCATCTGGAGGGCAAAAAACGGGCCTACCAGGCCCACCATGCCATCGCTTGGCAAAAGCGGGTGGGTGGGTGTCGCTCGTGCATGCGGGGGGGGGGGACATTGAATTATGGGTGTGGGCTCGCATGAGTGCGACACCCCGCGCTCCCCCCGCTTTTGGCACGCAATGGCAAAAAGGTTAGCCATCACTTTCCTAGGGAATGGAATTCCACATATCTTTTAAGTTGCCATGTTTGAAAAACACTAAGGTGGATGGTTCCCTTATTTATTTTTTTTCTTGGTAAGTTTAGTTAGATTTCCACGGCTTATCTCTTACTAAAGGTAAGCCTCAACTTGCGACCACAATTGTGCCCAGAATTTCTGCTGCTAAGCGAAACATTCGTTGAGTGAGTTTTGCCCCATTTTACGACTTCCCTTGCCGCAGTTTTTAAGCAGATCAGGGTGGTTGTTCAGTTAGTGACAAGGTTGTTAAGTGAATCTGGTTTTCCCCGTTGGCTTTGCTTGTCAGAAGGTCGCAAAAGGGGATCACGTGACTCTGGGACGCTGCAACCGTCAGTTATGAGTCAGTTATCAAACGTCCAAATTTTGATCACGTGACCCTGGGAATGCTGCAATGGTCCTAAGTATGAAAATGGTCATAAGTCACTTTTTTTGGTCCTGTTGTTGAACGGTTACTAATCGAACTATTGTAAATCACGGTCTACCTGAATCTGATTTAAAAGAATTTTTTTTTACTCGCTATTGCTCAATCTTTTATTACAATTTGCCTAAGGCCCTGAAAGGGAATATTATGAAGAAATTATATGTAGAAAGTCTTCTTATGACTTGGATGGTACCCAGTATGGATGTTTTTGCACAAATTCCTGAAACTCTGTGTGGCTATGAATTTCTGTCATTTTGAAGCAGGTGAATTTGGTAACATAAACCCCAAAGTGGGTTAAATATAGCTTAAAAAAAATAAAGACCTCAAGAAGACATAACTCAGAAAAATGCCCACCTGCTTCGGAGTGATTTCTATGACCGTTACTCACTTTTTTTTCCCTCTTGGTACAATAGTCCTCAGTTTACGACCACAGTTGTAATCAAAATTTCTGTTGCTAAGTGAAACTTTTGCCAAGTGAGTTGTTAAGCGAATCTGGCTTCCTCTTTGCATTTGCTTGTCAAGAAGGTTGCAAAAGGGGAATCACGTGACCCCAGCACACTGCGACCGTCATAATTGTGAATCAGTTGTCAAGCATCCAAATGTAAATCACGAGACCCTGGGGATGCTGGAATGGTCGTAAGTGTGTGAAAACTGCTCATGAGCCACATTTTTTTCCAATGCTCTTTGCAACTTCAAACAGTTGCTTAACGAACTCTTGAAAATCATGGACTAAAGTCACCGCTAAAAGTTTAGAAAGTTGGTGGAAAAACCCCAATTGAAGACAGTGGCAAACCCCTTGTGTGTGTGTTTTTGTGTGTGTTTTGTGTGTTTGCCACAATAGCTGCTCAACTGAGACTAGAAGTTGGGGTTAAGTGGAAGAAAACGCTGTCTTGATTTACTTGCAGCTTTTTAGGGCGGGATGAAAAATGGACATGTGAAACACGGTTTGAAGTGTCCTCTTTCTTAAGTCACCTGTGTTGCCATGGTCACGCCATGCCCAGTGCGCAGCGTAATGTTTGCCCACACACACATTGTTTGGTGTTTACCCAGAAAGGAGAAGTGGATGAGAAATAGGGAACTTTTGGATTGAACAAGCTTTTGAAACGAGGTTTCTGGAACTTCAGTCTAAAACCTCCCCTTGCCTTTTCAGGAGATTCTGGCAGGACTGACTCTGTCAGGGTTCACGAATGGAGGCTGAGCCAGCTAGCCTTGCAAGGAAACCAGGTTTGTTCCTGGGAGTTCATATTGTTGGAGTTGAACGAGAGCGGTGCGATGGGACTGAACCTGTTTTCTCTGAAAATGCAGTCTTAAAATAGTTGGGATAATTTATACGTATGTTTGTGCAGCATTTATTTACATTCCACCTTTATTATTTTTAGAAATAACTCCAAGTCCCCAGCATACCTAACATTCCTTCTTTCTCCTGTTTACCCCACGACAACAATCTTGTGAGGTGGATTGGGCTGAGAGAGAAGCCCAAGATCACCCAGTTGTCTTTCATGGCTAAAGCAGGACTAGAGCTAACTGTGTCCTGGTAATTGGCCGGTTGTTTATTGTTTGATTTTCTGAGTTGATCGTTTCTTGATTGGGGCGTTGTTTACAGAGTAGAGTAGAGTAGAGTAGAGTAGAATAGAATAGAGCCTTGGTGGCGCAGCAGACTAAAGCACTGTTAAGTAACACCAGCTGCCTGCAATTACTGCAAGTTCAAATCTCACCAGGCTCAAGGTTGACTCAGCCTTCCATCCTTCTGAGGTAGGTAAAAAGAGGACCTGGATTGTGGGGGCAATAAGCTGACTTTATATAAAAAAAAGAACACCGCTTGGGGGTGGGGGCGAAAGCCCTACTAAATAGGTATATACAAAAGTATGAAGGCTATTGCTTAACGCATTGTAAGCCGCCCTGAGTCTCCGGAAAAAGGCGGCATATAAATCGAACCAACCAATAAATAAATAAAAGAATAGAATAGAATAGAATAGGAGAGGAGAGGGGAGGGGAGGGGAGGGGAGGGGAGAGAAGAGAAGAGAAGAGAAGAGAAGAGAAGAGAAGAACAACCGAGTTGGAAGGGACCTTGGAGGTCTTCTAGTCCAACCCCTTGCTTAGGCAGGAAACCCTACACCACTTCAGACAAATGATTGTCCAACGTTTTCTTAAAAACTTCCAGTGTTGGAGCATTCACAACTTCTGGAGGCAAGTTGTTCCACTGGTTAATTGTTCTCACTGTCAGGAAATTTCTCCTTAGTTCTAGGTTGCTTCTCTCCTTGATCAGTTTCCATCCGTTGCTTCTTGTCCTGCCTTCAGGTGCTTTGGAAAATAGCTTGACTCCCTCTTCTTTGTGGCAGCCCCTGAGATATTGGAATACAGCTATCATGTCCCCCCCCCCAGTCCTTCTTTTCATCAGACTAGACATACCCAGTTCCAGCAATCATTCTTTATATGTTTTAGCCTCCAGTCCCCTCATCATCTTTGTTGCTCTTCTCTGCACTCCTTCTAGAGTCTCCACGTCTTTTTTACATCGTGGAGACCAAAACTGAGTGCAGGATTCCAAGTGTGGCCTTACCAAGGCATTATAAAATGATATTAACACTTCACGTGATCTTGATTCTATCCATCTGTTTAGATTTGTATTAATATTCATATTAATATTAATCTAGATTAATCTAGATTAATATTATATTAACAATCAAGAAATAAACAATGCCCTGATACTAGATTAATCTGTTTATCTGGCTGTTGATTGATGGCAAAGAGGTGTTTGTACTATTTTGGTTTCCTTTTTTAAAACTTGGATTGCCTTTTTTGAATGTTACGCAGGTGTCGTTTATCTCTACGTGCCTGTTGATGGCTGATTTGTCCGAGTGCCACACTTCCCTTGGTAAGAACACTCTCAGTGACACTGGGAGAGTTCTTTCTCCCTTCTAGCACTGATGATGTTACCTAGTTGGGTAATGAAACGTCTGCAAGAAAACAGCCAAGCTCAGAGAGCACCAAGGATCCCTCATTTCAACCCTGAGCTGCAAATATTCTTTTCCATAGATCTTGTGTGTTCCTCTGAAATAGAGAACCTAGCGTGAGAAATTGGCCTCTCTGTGGTCCCCCCCCCCGATCTCCTTCCTCAATAATCATATCCCAGACGTAGAAATGATTGACACCTCACGATTCATAGTTTCAGAAACCTTCAATCTTTGGAAAGCCTCACAAAAGTTCCTTTTATAATCAGAGCTCCGAAAGGGGAAACAAAATGCCCCATCTTGTTGCCTCAACCTGTAATAACAGAGGACGGTTTAATTTAGGTTTGGCTATTTTAAAGAGTCAACAGAAATGCCTGCTTCGGTCTGCTTATGATTGGCTGATCTTTGGGTGGAAGAAAGCTTTCCCTGACCTGCATTTTAAATCTTCTGATTCTAAAACTGGAATAGAACCAGTACATTTCTTGCTTGCTTTCCTTGAACGATATCACAGTTTCAGATGAAGACCGGCAACCTGTGTACGTCCCAGGTACGTTGCGTGAATGGCTACAGCAGAAGTTTGGATAGTGATTGGCTGGGCATCTGGTTCAACTCTAATTTGTGTGCATACTGCAAGCACTCGTTGAATGTAGATAGTCCTCGATTTACGACCATGAGGGAGCATACCATTAGAATTTATTTTATTTTATTTTTATTTTATATCCAATTTATATACCGCCCTTCTCCCTGAGGACTCAGGGCGGTGTACAGCCGAATAAAAACATAAATTACAAACATTAAAATAGTATTAAAAGAATATATATAAATTTGGCTCCGTAATTTAAGAACAATAACAAACCCATTTAAAACATTTAAAAAATTAAGAAAAAAAAAAGTTAAGCCAGCCCGGCTTGCTGAAAAAAGAAGGTTTTAAGGGCACGGCGGAAAGCACCGAGGTCTTGGATTCTCCTTATCTCTGGGGGCAGTTGGTTCCAGAGGGTGGGTGGAATAGAATGGAGTAGAATGGATTATAAATATAAATATAAATATAAATAGAATATGGAATGGAACAGAATAGAAAATTGAATGGAATAGGACAGAACAGAACTGTCAAGTTTAAATGTACACTCATCAGCGTACATTAAAATGAAGTTTCGTTGCATTCAGATCTGAAAGGATAACCATTATGCATATACCCACATACACACACACATATATATGACACAGAGAAACCTCACGGTCTAGTTCGAATGTATACTTATACAAGGCGAAAAGAAAGAATCTTGCGGGTTCCCTATGGATGGCATAGGGAACAAAGCTGTTACAGAATCTGATAGCCTGCTAGAAATACTATAGAAACCCCCTCCCAGAGGGGAGCAACAGAAGCAGACCATGAAGTGGGCGTGTGGGGTCTCTTAACAATGCTTGGAGCTCTAAGCACATAGCGCTTGTAAGCAGTATCCTGAATGACGGAAAGCGAGCTTCCTATAATCTTCTCCACTGTCCTCACCACTCTCTGTAGGGACTTTCTGTCCGAGGCACTGCAGCCACCAAAACAAACGGGGATGCAGTTTGTTAAAACGCTCTCCATCGTGCCTCTGTCAAAAGTGGCCAGGACAGAAGGAGAAATTATGCTCCGTTATGGTTGCAGGTGGTGACGGTCTTTAAGCAGGAGTGTGATGTGTTAAACGGAGCATGGAATGGGGGTGGGGGAGGAGGCCCTTGGAGCGTTTAATGTAAACCCAGGCCTTCCTGACTTGAAACCCTCCTGTGCTCTGCTTCTGACTGCTTGGAGTCCATGAAGACCCATCCTTTCCTGCCCTTCCTCCCCCCATCGCTCCCTATCTCCTCTCCCCACATGTTCCTTCTATCCTGTCCTTCCCAGTCCATCCCCTGATACGTGGCTTGGTGGAAAGATTCTACATGATCTCCAGTTTTAAAAGCAGCGATAGCAAAGATAGTAACTAAACCTAGCATTAGCACATCACGTTATGACGTTGATTAAACAACTCCGAGGTGAGTCATTAAAAATGTGTGAGCTTGGTCCATAAATTAATCAAACTTACCTTTGTGAAGAAAAGTATTGAAAAGCGCCAGGTGCGGTAACAATCAAAAGCTAATAAATGCAAAGAGTCAATTTTATAATGTTGCCTTTATGACAATCTTGAAGATAGATGAAAAGCTTAAAGGTGTGATAAATTGTTTGTGTATAAGAGAGAGAGAGAGAGAGAGAGAGAGAGAGAGAGAGAGAGAGAGAGGAGGGGAGGGGAGACGGGAGAGGGAAAGGGAAAGGGAAAGGGAAAGGGAGGAAGAATAGAATAAAATAGAATGCAGAATGGAATATAATGCAAAATAGAGAATAGAATAGAATAGAAAATATGGAATGGAATGGAAGAATTAATTTAGAATAGAATAGAATAGAATAGAATAGAATAGAATAGAATAGAATATATGGAATGGAATGGAATGGAATGGAATGAAAAGGAAAAAAGGAAGAATAGAATAGAATAGAACAGAACAGAACAGGAGGAAGAGGAGGAGGGGGAGGGGGAGGAGAAGGGAGGAGAGGAAGAATAGAATAGAATGCAGAATAGGATGGAATGGAATAGAATAGAATGGGAGGAGGAGAGGGGAGGAGAGAGGAGAGGAGGGGAGGGGAGATTTGTAGTGTACATTTTAATGTTTTTGCAGTTCCTTCTTTTCACTGGAAAACCAGAGAGAGAGAGAGAGAGAGAGAGAGAGAGAGAGAGGCTTTGTAAGAACCAGTGGAGAATTTCCGGGTCTTGTTCGTTCCATCTGCAGGGGTTTCTGACGAGAGGAATTTGAGACCCAGGCAACTGCGGAAAGGGCAGAAGACGGAAGCAAAGGCCAAAGTAGCAGCGGCTTCGAATCCCGCCCCCATGGAGGTCCTGAAAAGGATTGGAGAAGAAGCCGGGCAGCAGGTGGGTTTGGCTTTTCCTCTTAGAGCAAGCAGCAGCAGGACACTGTGGGTCTCGTTCGCACATCTGGCATGCTTCTGCAGCTGAACACTCAAAAGTTAGTAGGCGTTGGGTGGCATATTTGAGGGACCATCTTTCCCCAGGTCATGTCTACCTATCCCGTGAGGTCTGCCAGGGCAGGCACGCTCCACCTGTCTGTAACAGACTGCCATTTTGGGGGGGGGGAGGGCAGGAGGAGGTGCCCGCCCTTTGGAAGATCATTTCCCCAGAGATTAGATTGATCTTGATCAAGATTAGGAATTTGGAGTGATGTGATAGCAGTTTTCCAATATCTGAGGGGCTGCCACAAAGAAGAGGGGGTCAACTTATTTTCCAAAGCACCTGAAGGCAGAACAAGAAGCAATGCATGGAAACTTATCAAGGAGAGAAGCAACCTAGAAATAAGGAGAAACTTCTTAACGGTGAAAACAATTAAAACAATTAATCAGTGGAACAGCTTGCCACCAGAAGTTGTGGGAGGTTTTTAAGAAGAGACTGGACAGTCTCTTATCTGAAATGGTATAGGGCAGTGATGGCTAACCTTTTTGCTGTCACATGCCAAAGTGGGGGGAGCTTGGGGGGATTGCGTGCTTGCGTCTCCACACCCATAATTCAATGCGCATGCGTGTACTACCCTCCTGTGCTCCCCCTGCTTTTGGCACACGGTGGGCCCGGTAGACCTGTTTTTCGCCCTCCCCAGACTCCAGAGGCTTTCTAGGAGCATGGGGAGGGCGAAAACAACCTTCCCCACCCTCCCGGAGGCCTCCGGAGGCCGGAAATGGCCCATTTGCTGATTTCCGGTGGGACCAGAAGGCCCGTTTTTCACTCCCCAGGCTCCAGGGGCTTTCTAGGAGCCTGGGGAGAGCGAAAAACAGGCCTCCCCCCACCCCTTCCGGAGGCCGGAAACATCCTGTTTCCCAACTTCCAGTGGTCACGGAAGGCCTGAAAAATCAGCTGGCTGGTGTGCACATATGTGCTTGAGCTGAGCCCACTGGCATGGCTCCGCGTGCCATAGGTTCACCATCAGGGGTATAGGATCTCCTACTTGAGCAGGGGTTGGACTAGAAGACCTCCAAGGTCCCTTCCATCTCTGTTATTCTGTTAGAGGCTTTTTGCAAGGCCTTTCAGCTGTGGTTTTTTTCATCGGGCATGGGATCCAGTAATACGACAGAGCCCTTGCAGTGGGCACGTTGATTTTTGTTATTGGTTTGGTTTTTTTATTCTTTTTTTTTTTTTTTAACTTCTATTGATTCTCCGTGTGCTGTTTTTTATTATTATCTTTTAGGAGGTTTTTAACTTTAGCCATGCTGCATCATGAATTTTGTGATGAATGGCTCTGTAAGTTGAAATAATAAAACTCTCTCTCTGCATGTAAATAATAGTAGGAATCCCACAGGAGCTTTTTCAAGAGGCGACTGGACTTTCCGGTTTTTCTTTGAAGATGTTTGGCGTCTCATCCAAGAAGCTTCTTCAGCTCCGAAAACCTCTTCAAAGAATAACCAGAAAGTCCAGCTGCCTCCTGAAAAAGCACTTTTCTGTTGGTATTTATTTATTTATTTATTTATTTATTTATTTATTTATTTATTTATTTATTTATTTATTTATTTATTTATTTATTATTTCAATTTGTATACCGCCCTACTCCCGAAGGACTCAGGGTGGTGAACAGCTATAGAATAAAACATATGAGTACAAAACTTAAAATAAAATAAAACGAATTAAATAATTTGGCTGAAAATTTAAAACCCCAATAATTTAAGACCAAATTTAAAATTTCCATTTAAAAAGGGGAGAAACTTAGGTCAGGCCAGCTTGATGAAATAAGAACGTCTTAAGCGCGCGATGGAAGGTACGCAGATCCGGGATCCTCCGTATCTCCGGGGGGAGCTCGTTCCAGATAGTAGGTGCCCCCACAGAGAAGGCTCTCCCCCTGGGGGCCGCCAGTCGACATTGTTTGGCCGACGGCACCCGGAGGAGCCCCTCTCTATGGGAGCGTACTGGTCGGTGGGAGGCTATTGGTGGTAGCAGGCGGTCCCGCAAATAACCAGGTCCTGAGCCATGGAGCGCTTTAAAGGTGGTAACCAAAACCTTGAAGCGCACCCGGAAGACCACCGGGAGCCAGTGCAGCTCGCGCAGGAGAGGTGTTACATGGGAACTCCACGTCGCTCCCATCACCACCTGCGCGGCCACACTCTGCGCCAGTTGGAGCCTCCAGGTGCTCCTCAAGGGGAGCCCCATGTAGAGAGCGTTACAATAGTCCAGACGAGAGGTGACGAGGGCATGAGTGACTGTGCGTAGGGAGTCCCGATCTAGAAAGGGACGCAACTGGCGGATCAGGCGAACCTGATGAAAAATCCTCCCGGTCACGGCCGTCAAGTGCTCTTCTGTATATTTATACAGCTGCCCATCTCACAGTTATGACTCCGGCTGGTGCTTGAGGCTTCCGAAAGCCTCAAAAAACAAAAGCAACCATAACAACAACAAGAATAGCAGCAACACAATATTACCCGTCCCAGTTCTCTAGGACAGCCTGAGACCATTCACACAAGCTTAAACCACACCCAGAAAAATCACATCAACAGGCTCAGCCAACCTCTAGACCTCATGCTCCAGGGAATATCCAAGCTTCAGGGATTTACAAAATGCCCAGAGGCTTGTTGGGGCCAAGTGAATCTCGGCAGCTGTGGTGCTTATCTTATCTTGCAGGCCATGTTTTGCTGCACTCAGGTGTGCCGGGCATTGTGTTAGAAACCCAACACTTCCTGAGTTCTAAATACAGCAGGGGTGAAATGCTACCGGTTCGGGGTGAACCGGCCCAAACTGGTAGTAAAATATGCTACTGGTTCGCCAAACCAGTAATAAAAAATGTAAATTTTCTGGACAATGAAGTGCCCTCTGGTGGTGCAAGAGTGCAAATACACCTCTTAGTAAAAAAAAATAAAAATACTATACCCGTACTATCATTGGTACTCTGGCTTTTTGATGCTCTATCAGTTTGGTGGCCCATGAAGCCTAGAGATTCACTCTGGTAGCCAATTGGACGTTGCAGGAGGGAGATATCGCATGTTTTGGAATTTGCAGCTAGAATTACGGGATGAAACTGGTTTTACCGTGCAATCAAATGCTGTTTCGGAGTCATTTGGGGATTTAAAGATAACAGAACATTACAGAATAACAGAGTTGGATGAGACCTTGGAGGTCTTCTAGTCCAGCCCCCTGCTCAAGCAGGAAACCCTATACCTGTGATGGTGAACCTGTGGCACGCATAGCCATATCAGTGAGCACGCGAGCTCAGCTCTGGTGCGCATGTGCACGCCGGCCAGCTGATTTTTGGGCCTTCTGGGCTCACCAGAAGTAGGGAAACAGGCTGTTTCCTGCCTCTGGACGACCTTGGGGGGATGGTGGGGAAGGCCCGTTTTTCTCTCTCCCCGGCCTCTAGAGCCTTTCTAGGAGTCTGGGGAGGGTGAAAATGGCCTTCTCCCCCCCTCCCCTGGAGGTGTAACCGGAAGTTGACAAATGGGCCATTTTCAGCCTCCAGAGAGCCTAGAAAGGCTCGGGAGAGCAAAAAATGGGCCTATTGTGCCATCATGTGACAGGAGGGGGGGGTTCGTGTGTGCATGCGTGGGGGCAGGGTGCATTTTATGGGTGAGGGCACGCGCACATGTGACTATCACCACCACCCCGCTCCTGGCACGCGATGGCAAAAAGGCTAGCCATCACTACCCTATACCATTTCAGGTAAATGGCTGTCTATAATCTCTTAAAACCCTCCAGTGATGGAGCAGCCACAACTTCTGAAGGCAAACGCCCTTCCACTGATTAATTGTTCTCACTGTCAGGAAATGTCTCCTTAATTCTACTAGGTTTTGAATCATTCATTTTTATTTTTACATTTCCAAAACGTACTTCTACCCTTTTTTCAGTTGTGATGTGCATTTGAAAAAAATGCCTTGTAATACTTCACATCTCACGAAGTTTTACGTAGCAAATTGTTCCTTCTGGCAAAAAAATTGTATCAGCTACAGATGATAAATTCCCAAAGATTAAAAATAGGATTGCACCCCCCCCTATCCAAACCCCCATTTCTGAGATCCTTGCAATATCGCAATCCTTCTCTTTTTCCTCCTTCCAGCCCTGGGTGAAGCTCGTTTGTGGAAACATAAGCCAACAGTGACTCTTCTAATACTACATTTGGGGAATTATCCCCGTAATTGTTTGTAAACGTGTCTTTTGCTCAATCAAGTATGGCTGAATTTTCAGCCGAATCTGTAGCCCTTTGTGCTTAAAATAATGTATTGTAAATTCAGGGAGGTTTCTTTCCACGTTAATGAAGTTCTTTTTGCAAATGTGGATTTTTTTTTTAGGGGCCGGACAAAGGAGAAACGAAGAGTGCTTCTTTAAAGGATTTATGCCCCGAAGACAAGAGGCGCATCGCAAACTTAATTAAGGAGCTTGCAAGGTGATTATAAACAGAGTCTGATAATGTGGAAGGCTGAGAATTTCCTTCCCTGTTGTGGTTTTGTGAATTGGAGGGATTTCTCTTTATTCAAAGTGTTCTAGCACATTCTCTCTGAGAGATCAGAGAGCGCTGACTAAAGGTCTCCCCTGCTGCAAATGTATTTATTTGGTAATTTATTTTATTTCTATCACACATTTATTTATAAACAACTCAAGGTGGCGAACGTACTTAATACTCCTTCCCCCTCGTATTTTCCTCACAACAACAACAACTCCGGGAGATAAGTTGTGCTGTGAGAGAATGACTGGCACAAAGGCAGCCAGCCAGCTTTCACGCCTAAAACGGGACTAGAACTCACTGTCTCCCGGTGATTGGCCCAAAGTCACCCAGCCGGCTTTCATGCTTAAAGTAGGACTAGAATTCACCATCTCCTGGTGATTGGCTGAGAATCACCAGCTGGCTTTCCTGCCTAAGGCCAGGACTAGAACTCACGGTCAGTCCTAGGCTGCGTCTACAGAGGGATAGCACCTGGAAATTGTAGTCCCAGCAGTCATCATGCACCTTGCTATCAATACAGAAGGTGCCGGTTTAATCAGTTTAGATCAGTTTTGTTTTGTTTTTGCTTTAATTTACAGTATATGCCACCCTTCTCCGGAGACTCAGGGCGGCTTACAATGCGTTAAGCAACAGCCTTCATATTTTTGTATATTTATACAAAGTCAGCTTATTGCCCCCACAGTCTTTCACCTACCTTTGAAAGGATGGAAGGCTGAGTCAACCTTGAGCCTGGTGAGATTTGAACTTGCAGTAATTGCAAGCAGCAGTGGCCATATGTGAACAGGTGGTTCTAAAGAAGCAGTTTAATAATCCTGGTTCTTTAGAACCACCTGTTCACATATGGCCACTGGTTTAGTCCGCATAAGTTTGTCTTTGGTCTCCTGTGATGGGGCGGATGCTTTTGGGCTGGGCTGGGTGAGGCTACTTAACTTGTGAATGTGGCCTGATCCTTGGGAGTGGCTCTGTGGGGCTGAGGCTTCTACCTCCATACCATTGGCTTAGACCAGGGGTCAGCAACCTGCAGCTCTGGAGCCGCATGTGGCTCTTTCATCCCTCTGCTGCGGCTCTCTATCACTCAAAATATGTATCACAACCGCCAATGTGCGACACCTGCCAGCACATGATTTATTGAGCTTTTCAACCTCAGTACACCAGCCATGGATAAATCCAAGAAAAGAAAAGTTTCAGAAGAAAACAGAAGGTTTAATTCGACTACATATGCTAGTTTTGTGGCCGCTCAGGAAATAGGCACGGGAAGGGTTTTGTGGCTCCCGGTGTTTCCTTTTCTATGGGAAACGGGTCCAAATGGCTCTTTGAGTGTTTAAGGTTGGAGACCCCTGGCCTAGGCAAAGGTTTAACTACAAGTGTGAAGTTGGGTCTGTTGGTGAAGGCACCAGGCTCTAGAAATCTGGGGATGATAAATTCTAGTTCCGTCTTGATATGAAAGCCAACTGGGTAACTTTGGACCAATTAGCAGGAGACATTGAGTTCTAGTCCTGCCTTAGGCACAAAAGCCGGCTGGGTGACTTTGGGCCAATCACCAGGAGACGGTGAGTTCTAGTCCTGCCTTAGGCACAAAAGCCATCTGGGTGACTTTGGGCCAATCACCAGGAGCTGTGAGTTCTAGTCCTCCCTTAGGCATGAAAAGAGACCGTGAGTTCTAATCCTGCTTTAGGCATGAAAGCCAACTGTCTTTGGGCCAATCACCAGGAGACTGTAAGTTCTAGTCCTGCCTTAGCCATGAAAGCCAGCTGGGTGACTTTGGGCCAATTTACCAGGAGACTGTGAGTTTGGTTTCTACCTTAATCATGAAACCCATCTGGATGGGCCAATCACCAGGAGACGGTGAGGTCTACTCCTACCTAAGGACGAAAACCGTCCAGAAATATCTGCAAGGAAACCACCAAGCTCAAGAGAGCATCAAGGACCCTATCGTTCAATCCTGAGCTGCAGTTACTATCTTCTATCCATCTGTTAATTTATTAAGCCAATTTACAGGGCCACCCAACTCACACACAGGCTCCTTAGGGCGGCTTACAACACTAAGAATCCACAATATAAAAAACACCACACAAACAAACACACACAATCCATGGCAGCAGCAAGCAGCACAGCTCCCTTGAGTAGAAGCAGCAGGAATCATGAGTGGTGGTGGGGGGGAGGCGAGGCAGTGGGGCTTCAGGCTAGTCCTGATCAAAATCCATCTTCTATTGGCGCCTGGTATTGGTCTGACGGTCTGTGTGTGCGCGTTGTGTTCTTTTCAGAGTGAGCGAGGAAAAAGAGGTGACGGAGGAGCGCCTGAAAGCCGAGCAGGAGGCGTTTGAGAAGAAGATCAGACAGCTGGAGGACCAGAATGTCCTCATCATCAAAGAGAGGGAAGATATCCTTTGGTTTTTAAACTATTTGGCTTAAAACGGGCAGCGGGTGAGAGTTGGGGAGTTGATTGCACGGAATGAAAAGCCAACCAGGGAGAAATAAATTGCCCTAATTTATAGCTGGGCACCTATCGCCCCCGTGTTGCCATGCAGAAGCAATCCGAGGGGGGCTACCAGCGGGGGCTGCTGGCTCCTTCGAGTTGGAAACGGCCACCCGGCTGTTCCCGGGATGTTGCTTTTACTGCGCCAAGAGAGGTTTGTCGACGCAAGAACAGAGCAAAAATCTGCACATTAGCAAATACGGCCTGCTTCCTCCCGTCTCTCTTGCTTAATTGCCCCCCTTTGGATTCCCCTTAGGGAAAATGCCCCCCCCCCCCCCCCCCCACGGCTCTTCTGCAGCCGTTCCCGACTCTCCCACGGAAGTTGAGGAGGGCTGGGATCTGGTGAGATATGGCAGATCATGATCAAGGGTTTTAACGGGCCCTGAAGTCCTCCTTCCCTTCCCTTCCCTTCCCTTCCCTTCCCTTCCCTTCCCTTCCC